ATGTTATAGATTTGGAGAGCAGCGAAGGGCCTATTGATTTTTTTATATATCATTACAACAAAAATATATTTACCACTATCCTCATTTAAAGAAATAAAATGTGTCGAGATCAATTTTAGATTCTGAGTAAAAAGAAAAATCTAGTTTTTTTGGAAACCACTTTTACGTTAGTCAAAATACTCAGATTTGTACATTTATTATTAATGCTTATTTAAAATAAAATAAAAAGAAATTAAATAATATATGAATATTTGAAAAAAGGAAATTATTTCTTTTTCAATTTTACGTTGTTTTTTTTTCTACTCGACTTTCGTATAATAAATTTTTACAAATATAGATTGGGTGTCCATTCACAAAATTCCACAATTTCATACACATTTCCTGACTTTTTCTGAGTCTTTATACTTTTCCAGAAACAGTGGAGACCATGATACTTGTTATATATTACAACACATTAAACTATAATTTCCCGAAATTCGAATGGCAGGCATAAATATATGATTATTTTATTACCTACCGAATGGTAGTTAGGAGTAATAACGTTTCTCAATAAGATTACCAAGCAATCAAAAAAAAAAAAAAAAACTGAAAAACATATGAATAATAATAATTGTATTCTAAATTTCGGAATCGTATTTCAAATGAAATGACCTAAACGCACATTTGAGCATTGTTGTCGATTTTTTTTTTTACAATAAAATACCAGCAAGCAGAAATTTATGGCCACCAAGAACAATGAGTTGATCAATGTGCGAAGGTTGGACCTTATGCTATTTTAAATTTGTATAGTATCTGTACAGTTTTTATTATACGAGTCTGCAAATCATTTAAATTACATTCTGAGCGTAGCGAAATGTACTGGGTTTTACTATGTGTGCTTTAATTAATTAATTTTTTTTTACTGTCCGTAAACAACTTGTTTACCAAAAATGTTGATTCAATCAAAAATTACATGACACAGACCTTAATTTTGGTTACGTTTAGGATGAAATTATTGCAATGAGGTAATTTTTTGATTTTCCAAGCCGTAGGATTTATAGCATTAACGATTTCATTATTTTAAATAGTTTGATTTTATTTTTCTACTAGAAATCTTACACTGATATTGAAATGTTTCATCTTTTCAGAAAGAAAATGTTGTCTAATTTGTGAGTGTGAAAGCCGTTTTTTTGATTTTGCGACGTACCTTTCACTAATTACCAATTGGGCAAAACCGGGAAAGTTGACGAAAATAACGGTTTCATTATTTTCAATTTTGTTTTTTGTTGTTATTCGATTAAAAACATTCTTGCAATTGTTTGAACTATTTATAAGGATTTAAAATTTTCTAGGTTTTTTAGTTAGGTTTTATTTAGTATATACGTACTACGTGGATAAAATTATTTAACCAAACAGACTTACTTGAAAGTTTAGCACAAGATTTATAATAGGTTGTAAGTAGTGGTTAAATAATACAAAAGGTTGAACGTAATGTGGTGTTTTTTTATAAGCGGTTTAAGATTAAATTTTGACGAAAGTCTTAAAAAATTACGACATTTCAAAACACGTAAAACAGAACTTGGCTCAGAATCGTCTTTTGTTAGCAATGGTTTATCGTTGTGCATAGCTCCCCAATGCACCAATAATATCAAAAATGCTGCTCATAAGAAAGTTCCTACCAGTGACATAAAGGAAGGAGGGGGAATTTACCCCCCCCCTTTAGGACATATTATTATGTGTGTACGGTGTATTAACCTATTATTAAATGATTTTACAATTTTTTAAAATTTAATTTTAATGAAGAAGCCAATAATATAATAACATGGTCAAATTTGTTTTTACTTATATATTTAATATTATTTAAAAAGTTACACATAAAAATAACAAAATATACAGCAAGTAGCCATTTAAAATTAAAATATCTAACATGTACCTATTTTATCATAATAATGAATATTGTTATTTTTGTATTTTGTTAAATTTGTTACTAAAAAGTAAAAATTCAGTTTAAAGTTTATCTTGTTTTTTTTTACTGGGCCCAACCCTGTAATCTGGCCACACTAGCCAAGCCTTGATGGATCATAACACCTAATATTGTATACAAATGTCTAATGAAAATATTGGAAATAATTAAATTGTTGTCAATTATTTAATATTTTGAATACCTATAACTATAAAATTGTTCTTTTTTTTTTTTTATTCATTTTGAAAAAGAAATAAACTAACATGTACACTAATTTAAAGCTGAAGCAGTGAAATTTAAAACAAAAAACACTACACACAATGCTAAATTTGCACTACTGATTATTAATAATCAATGTGAAATTAACACCGGAGAAAAAAATAATTCAATTAATTCGAAAATTTAAAATCATAATTAGGTGCGTCATAAATCATAATATAATATTCCACTCGTATGAATGGACGCGCGATATTTTTAAACGAATTATTTTGTAGTTTTAATATTTTGTATGCGATTTATTACATCACGAGAAACATTTTATATACGTGCATTATTTTATTAGTCAAAGGAAACTACTGTATACTATACGATACGGTCAATATGCACTAAAACTATATACATTACCAGCGCTATCAAAGTAATGCCGTACCATACTCAATTTCTAATAAACAAAAGCCTAACACACTTCGAAATCGTTTTTCGTTAGGAATGGTTCATCATTGCATACAGACATAAATTGAATTACTCTATATAGTATGTATCTTCCTTTCCAACTTTTATCATAAAATAGTGGCACATGCATTACAGAAATAGATATCAAAGACTTTTTTTAGAATAACAATGTTTGGAATCTAAAAAAAAAATGCTTCAAATTAAGTACCTCGGGGCGGAAATTGCACATTTGTTTTGTATACTGCGTGAAAAATAAACCGTTTTTACTAACAAAAAGGGTTTTGAGAGTTAAAACACACAAAAACTGAATTTACAAGTATAAACAAATACCAAGATCAAATGTAAGGTTGGTATTTTACATGGATTGGACTGTATAATACAGTTAAGTATAAAACACGTATAGTATATATACCTATATACATACGTATATTATATCTTCTTTATTTTATCGTTTTATACTGTATACAAGCTTTTTTTTTTTATGACTGCACTAAACAACATTTATCAGGTACAGTAATAATTATAGTACAATTGACAATTATTATCAATTGATAAATGATAACCACAAACATTTAATCATAATTTTATATATCTGTGGTTATAACCATCATAGCTACAAATACCAGGTTGGAACGTATTATTATTATTGTTTATTTCCTCGAAAATATAATCGTTTTATACTTTAGTTTTTTTTTATGGTCCAATAATTTCCAATTTATATTGATACGTGGCATAATAACCACGAATATAAATCATAATTTTATACATTTGAGGTTATAACCACGACTATGCATATTTAAATTTATTTTTAAGACAAGTCTTCTACGACCCAATAGGAAAGTGTTTTTTTTTTTCAATCTTTTCTTATATAAATAATAATTTTTGAAACAGATTATCTCCGGATCATTCAAAAAAATTGCTGATTTATATTATCCACTGAAATGAGAGAAAAACATAACTTATGAAATAAGTATTAAATAACCACAGATTTACCAAAGAAGATAAACTATAAAGAAATATTACCTAAGACATATGTAATAATTTGTTGTTATTATTAATTACTATAAATTTATCTGTATTCTTTAATAATAACACGACATTAATATGTACAATAGAAATATTTTTTTTTTTAAATTTACCAAATTGATGTTATTTATACTTATTAAAATGTAAAATGCACTGTATTATCATTATATTATAACAATATTATAAATTATTTCAAGAAGAAAAAAAAACGAATACTCATTAATATTCCTCGCGTCTTGGTCGTTTTATACGTGGTGAGGGGGGGGTGTACTATATACGTATAAAGTATAGAAAAAAAAAAAAAAAACGTTTTCCACGCGTATATTAATTATTATCAACCCCGGACTATTCTCGAACCCGTAGAAACTTAAAAGCTCGACCCCTAGAATAAAACGATAATAAAATATTACCGTACCACACCGTGGATTGACATTGTTGTTCGCCGTCGCGCAGTGTGGATTATTGCGTAGGATGTGATCCGAGAAGAACGAAAACAATGTTGTTATACGTTATATAATAATAATTAATTAATAACACAATCATTGACGGTGACAGCTGCGGCAGCAAGAACACGTACGGCTTCGAACGTTCCAATAAAATGACAGAAATAACATTCCCATATTGCGAGTCGATTTCGATTTGCCGATAAAACGCCGGGAGAGCGCTGCGGTAGCACACCGGCACGCATAAAAACAATGTTTCCCATATCAAATGGCGATGCGTACCGGACTCGTATGTCGACTAATAGAATTCACAAACACGGAATAGAAAAGTAACGATAAAAATCCAATATTGAAAAAACGCAAATTTTTCAGAAAGCGAACAAATCTGGGAAAGGATCTCGCTTTATTTCTTTACATTATTATCCAATAAACAAATTTAAAACGCATTTCCTTGTCGGATTTAGACTATGGAATTCAAGACAGAAGTTTTAGGTGGTAGTAACTATATACGGTTAAATTTGGACGTATTTTTGAGCATTTTTTTTTTAAACAAACGGCTTCACCGACAAAAATCCTATGAAACAGTGTCATTAACTCGTTTTTCTATTTTTTGGAACGTGTGGATTTTGACGCTAGCCTACTAGATAATAATATTACTTCGGAGGGCGATACACTATTAAGAACATTAGCCGAATTTAAAATCTATTTAGTCGTAATTCGAGTGACATTATCACCTATTGAATAAAACCGATTGAACAATGCTCAGCAGACAATAATTATACGAGGAAGTATTTAAATATTTTTATGTTGATTCATGATTTATATTTAATTGGATTTTTAAGAGGACAACTCAATTGTTATATAATGCATTATCGTTTTATTATTAAAATAATATAATATATTAGGTAGGTACTTAATAGATGAAAAAATAATAATTATAACATTTATAAACACAAAACAGATGGGCGAGATGTGTTTTCAAAATACCAACGCCAAATTTCTCCACTCACAGCCTTTTGTTTTTTTTCGTATAGCTCAATTTATATAAATAATTGAAAAATTCATTGTAAGACAACTATTGGAGTTTTTTTTATTATTGTCATTAGAAAATATCGGTGATTTTTCGTGTTTAATTTGTCGTATTTCAAAACAAGGTATGAAATAGTAGCATTGATTATAGAAGTATATGTATAGCCAATAAGTACCATTTTGCTTGTAGTTGTTTGAAACCACAATGGTGTGTATTAATATTGTATAAATAAACCAAAGGAAAGTTGTTGTTCCGATGAGTCATCGTACCATTAAAAGAGTCACCCTACAGAATATAAATGGATTCGCGACGCAGTCGGGTTTCCTTCGGAGATGGCTCGCTAAACCTGCACACTGTCAACTGGTTTATTTTTTTTATATCGATCGAAAACTAACTTAATTTGGTTATTTGTAGTTATTCTAGTTGTCTGCAGCGCACCGAGTTTTCTGGTTCTCTGCTCTGGTCGTGGGCAGACACGCGTTTTGTTATACAAATATATTTAATACAATATTGGAAATTTGATTATTATTTTATACAAGAGATACATTTTATTTTACTTTTCAGATAGTGATCCAATTTAAAAATAATAATATTTTCAAATTGTTATATTGATTAAATTGAAAAATGCCGATATTTCACGTCAATCAACGTACTCGTATTAAGTAGTGGAAAAGGAATTTTTTAGTTGTTTTTTTTTAAATACGATTACATTCATTTTTACAATTGTAATCATACTCATTCGTAATTGGTTTATGTTTCTAGACTGATATAATAATAATTTATTGTGTTAAATAATAATGATAATAGTAGATTACTAGGTATTTTTAAATTGATTATTTATCGATTGCATATTGTGGTAATTATGAGCATTAGTGTTGAGAAAAAAAAATACAATATATATAATCAGTCCCTGAACTTAAAATAATAACTTTATATTATCAATCATTCCAAAGATATCAACAATCGAATTGTTTTAATTTTATTACATATTATACTATTTTTTCTATAGCGAGATGTCCCTGTTGTCGTCACTCAGTATGTTGTATACGCCTTGCACTTTTTAAACACTTGAGAATTTCTATTGACAAACGTTTTTTTTAAAATATTAAAAATATTTGAGTCAACCGGGTTTTTTAATACGAGAATACGAGAGGTTCAATAATATTTATTTTCGAGTAAACAAAAAATCGAAACGTAAGAAGTTTTAACCTTTTATAATAAATGATTAAAAAAATGATAAAAAAACGTAATTTAAATAGATAATCGTGCAGCAGTAAGGTATTTGTTTTAGAGAACAAATCTCAGCGATACATAACCTTTTCCGTATAAAAATGTGGAATCGGTAGAGCACGGAATCTTTTTGGTTTTTTTTTTTTTTAAGAAGAAGGACGTGAAAAAATATTTTCACGGTATGATTCAGCCTATTATTAGTTTTTTTTTTTTTCAAATGATATACATACGATAAGCAAAAACAAGTCAAACAATATGAGAATATACCGCGATTTTTTAAATTAGAGCAAATTTCTTAATTCCTAATTCAATTTCTTATCATTTATCAAAACATAATCGTTTTTAATCCTTTTATAATAGATAAAATACAAATATATTATTAAAATCATTAACATTTCTACCAGGAGCCTGGCACCCCTCAAAAATGTTAACAGGTGCTCTTGTATATCATATAATACATAAATAAGTTCATTACTAATTTGAATAAAATGTTTTCTAATGTAGTGATTTTTTTTCAATACATATTATTAGACGATTTATATAGTTTATTATATACTATAATAATACAATACTATACTTATAATATTCAGAATTATATTGATAATATGAGAGAACATTCTACAGTGAAAAAAGGTAAAGACTGAGGTAATAATATTTTTGCCTGATGTTATGAACGTGGATCCAAAATGATAAGAAAAGGAAAACCAAAAAGGAGATAAAATTAGTTATACGGTTAAGAGTCGTAATACGAAGAAGCTATAAGGAAGACTTACTACAGCATTTAATTTAAACGAATATATAGCTTGACTGATTAGAACGAAACAGAATAGGTTTGGTTGGAAACCTCTGAATGAGATAAATAGATACATTCTACACATTTTTTTAAAAAAGCTTAAAGCTTAGTAGGAAATAATTATAGACTATAGCTACCATAAACTGAAATGTTAACATTTTCTGAAAAAGTTACTAAAAATTTATATAGAAATCCGATTTAAAAATAAAAATAAATTGTGGCTATTACACTATCATATCCCATTATATCTTGTTCTGTTGATTGCTTTATGAATTTCTTAAATTAGAAAATATTACTTGGAATTAAAGATTTGTGAAATAAAAAGAAAAATATAGAATTATAGAAATTTGACCCTGATCAAATTTAAACATAATTTGAAATACAAAAAATATTAAGAACACCATCTGAACTTAATTTAAAATGACATCAAACATTTTATTAGATATCTACTTTTTGTTGTTAAAATACAAAACGTATAACTAGCAAATGTCAAAATAATTTAATTACAATAACTATTTAAATATATATATATATATGAATAGACTGTACAACGATTAGGTAAAATAATATGAGATACTGTTACATTATTATAACTTTAAACATTTTAATTTAAAAAAAAATTAATAATTTTTATTTGTCATTCAATAACCAAAAATGTGACAAATGGCCAGCCACTCGCATACGTCATATAAACATAACTAATAAAATACCAAGTACAAAAGTGATGTCATTATATTAAATAAAAAATCAATTGACCGTAGCAAGTTGCGTCAATTAAATATAATTTTTCCACCTAGTTTAAAAATAATAATAGCACAGTCCAATACTAATATTTCAGTTATTCATACCATTAAAACAAACTATTTAATTGTGTCAAATATAAAGATTTAAAACTCATTTTAACAGATATTATGGCATCATGATTTTGGTAAATGCACTTAAATATCTACATTTTATACATTATTTCTATGATTTAAATGATTTTTGTATTTTGGGTATATCAAAGAAATATAAGGTTTGCCTTGGGTTTTATATTTATTAAAATGTAATTTTTTTTTCGTGGAACACTTTAGGTTAATAAATATGCTTCAATTTGTTTACACAATACCTTAAAGTTAAAATATACATAATTTCAGTCTGGTGGTAACTCTACTTGAAACATTTTTTGAAATTTTAAACAGTTTAACACATAGGTTCTTGGTGGTTTTTTTTTTTTGTAAAATATTACATTTTTTTGATTGTTAAAAATAATCAAATTTGGACACAAATGTGTAATATATCATAAGTTTAAAGATAATTAATTTTAAAAAATGTCTAGATTTCCCACTATTTTCCTATAAACTAAAAAAACTTACAATAAATGTCAATATATTGATTTTATTTTTATTGAATTCTGGATTACATTGGCTACAATGACAATAAATACTGCTTTGCTAAAAATTATTTTTTGATTTCGATGATTTATAATAATTACCCTATATCTATCATATACACCTTTCAAAATTCTTTCCTACTACAGTGGTCTACTCACAAGGTGCAAAATAAGTCTGGCTTTTTAATTTATTTCATATAAATACACAAGTTAAATTGTTTATTAGATATAAGTAAATTATAAAAGAACTTACAGGTATAAGTGGTTATAAACAGTTGTGTGCCAATTGCAGTTTTGTAATAGTAAAGTCACTAAATTATGGATATAGGTAGGTATAATGTAATTAGGTACTTAATTATTATTTATGTATACCATCATTTTTTTTTTTATTTGAGATTAAGTTATTAGGTAATTAAGTAAATAGGTAATATACAGATGCATACTTAATGGATAAAATCAAATTCTGAATAAAATATGATAACCTTCAGTATTAACTTCAAATTTATTTTTACTCGCTGATTTATGAGAACTTCATCAAATATTTTAAATCCTCAAAGGTAACTTTTACCAGATGTTCTACAGCAGCGTAAAATATATAGAATATTTAGCCTATTATTTCAATGATTATACATTTGTACTACTCATTCGGCAAGCATTCTCCAACTTAAAGTATAAAAGGACTGGACACAACAACATAGCAATCCACCATAACTATAAGACTAAAAGTATCTATACTAAAAGCATAATAAACATATGACAGTACTTACAGCTGTACGGAAAATTCCCAGATAAATTTTCACAAGGCAATGCACAATAACGACAGGTTCACAACACAATCGAACACGGACAAACCATATAAAAAAAAAAAAAAATAATAAAAACAATAAAATACAAATTAACACTTTCAAATAGAAATTTACTACAATAATAATACAAATGGGACCTTGGTGAAATACATTCGTGCGACTATATAAATACAAACAATAATAATAATAATAAATACCTAGGTAAGTAACTCGAAAAGTAGGGCCTGAGGTAAGTTATACAAAAACCGCTGTCACCAACGCCACTGACGACACTGAAATCAGAGCGAAAACAGCGAGCCAACAGCAGCGAAGATGACGACGTAACGACAAACGGACAGACGATTGTGCGCAAACGTATGTCAACGCGACGAACGTCAGGACCGTACTGTGAATGCGCTACAAACGCATTAGCAATATAATGAAATGAATATTGTATTTTACTACTAACTACACGATGCGCTCTATACAAATCTATGACACGAAATCTCGTCTTTACCGCCGCGGACGTTTTATCCGACCCGGAGCAACAGTCGACAATATTAGCCGTCCGACGACTAAAGGTTACTCACCACTTCTCTGCATGGTACGTAGTCACTCGTCACTCGTCACGGCGTATGCTGTCGGGAAAGTCGGCCGACGGCGACGGTTTGTAGCAAGGAACGGACGCAAAACAAAAACGCGAAAAAATTTAAAATTTACGCATTATCAGACGGACAGAACGGAATACGGTAACAAACAATAACACAACTGTGGTTGGCCGAAGCCGTTAAACGGTCGGGGAGAAGTGGGCGAACCGCTCATGGAAAGAAAAACGCGGGCAAATGTTCAACAGCACGTGAATCAATACATGACGGTATTCCAGTATTTGTGGTAAACGCCATCCTATCAAAAATTACAATAATTTCATTGGCTTTGGTACTTAAATTAATAAATTGTATTCCAATAATATTCTTTGACTCGCAAACAGTGTTTTCAGTATTCAATATTCAATCCATGGTTTTTTTTTTCCACTGCCGTGACAACTACAAGCTACGCATCATAATATCCCCACCACAGGACAACGTAAACACACTACGATAAATTTATCATGAAATACACTGGATTGATAAAAACTGATAATGGAATAATTTCATACTCACGCTTCTTTTCCAACATTTTGTTGTCTTTTTTTATGTTGTAAAATTTGTGAATCGTTTAAATATTTATTTATTTTTTTCAATTCGACATGCTTGGCTTATTCAGGCGACTAGCCAGCACGGGGATGCGCTACAAGAGCAATCATGCTATCGTTGTCACTGACGACGCGTCCACTATAGTGTGTTACCACCCAGAAAGTTCGTTCCCATACGAATTTACTAAACCATTACCCGTTGACAAGGTGTTGAGCAACTCGGTGTTACAAGTACAAAACAAGGAAAATGTATACGAAGTTTTCACTAAGCCCAACAATGAACTAGTTCATCAGGAACTAATGAAAATGACTTACACTACCAAACATCGATGGGTACCGCCTAAGAAATGGAAACGACGATTCGCTCACCCAAAGCTTGTAGATCGAGAATATTTGTAATCCATTATTACTATTATTTGTTTATTACTTTATTATTCAAAATCAATTGCTTATATAATTAGAAAAAATGTAAAGATTTAAATTGTTTTTAGAAAATATTCATTAAATAGTGTAATTGTACAAAAATTATGAATTTAAAATTTTGTTTTTCTTCTATTTCCAACTATAACAAAAAAATAAAACATATATATTTTAATTAATTATTTTATTTATAACAGTCATATTATAATTAATTACCTTAGTAAGTCCGTTAAAGACGGTACAACTGGTGGGATCGTTTGAGCAACCTTTGGCTGATTTGATTGTTTTTTAGTTTTTAAATTACGATGTTGCGGAAAAGTTGGCATTAATTTGGGATCACATGCTGAAAAAAAATTAAAAATACCTATTACATCATATAGTAAATTCTTGGGTTTATAATGCATAAACTTATGGTAAAAGGCAAAAATGAATTATTTTAGGAATAGGAACATTTGTTCGTTGAAATCATGTAAAAAAAATCGAATGGTTTTATTTTAAATTTAAAATAAACATGCGAACCACATATACGTGTTTTGATTCATTTGAAATAAAAATATAATTTTGCAATTCTAAACATATTGTACACTGCAAAACATGTTCATGGCACCAAACAATAAATTGGTTATAACAAGGAAAATTTAAAATAGTTGAAATTTAAAATTTATAATTACGTAATGGTGCTTCAATAAAGTATGAACTTTGGAGACTTTCTTCAGCTGTTCCTCTTCTACTCGGTTCATACATGAATAAAAAGTTTAAAAGGCGGTAACCAGCATCTGATAGCCAAGGGAATCTAAAAGAAAATCATATTTTACTAATAAGTTCAACAATTTCATTAATAAGGAAGTATAATTTTAAAAAGGTATATTACTTTGGTCTAATATTATTGTATGGTTGTGGTCTCAGGGTAAAATTTTTAAGAGCAGGTAATGAGTCAAACTCTGGCCATATAGAAGAATTAGGTGTGCCAAGAAGTTGACATATCAAATCAAGTTGATGTATTTCTGTACGACCAGGTAATAATGGTTTGTGAACTGTAACAAAATAATTAAATTAATTATGTAATAAAGTAACATAAAATAGGAATCAATAGTAAATAGAAATATATACGTAAAAGTTCAGCAAAAATACATCCAGTTGCCCACATATCAATGGCTTTTGTCAACTTAGGAGAACCTAATAAGACTTCAGGAGCCCTGTACCAAAGTGTCACTACTTTTGCTGTCATTTTCTTTGGTGGGACACCAAAAAAGCGAGCTAGTCCAAAATCAGCTTAAAAACAAAACAATTATTTATTAGGTATAAACTTTACATTAAAGGGAACATTTAAAATTAATGTTAAAATATCCAAATTAATTTTAAAAATATTAGTAAAGTTCAAATAAAATCCATTCACCGATTTTTACACATCCTTTGTCTGTAATCAATAAATTAGATACTTTAAGATCACGATGAATGATGAAGTTTGAATGCAAATATTTTAATCCTTTTAATAGTTGTAAAAATATACATTTCACTTGAGATTCAGTGAATGCAGTAGTCATATTGTCTAATAAACTGGATAAGTCATGTTCACAATACTCCATGGAAAGAAATATACTAGAAAATACGTAAAAAAAAAATATGTTACAAATATTATTCATAAAACATACAATATAAGAACAAATGTAATAACTATACTATACAAATAATGAATAATTTTAAAAACCAAACGAAGACAAGTGTAAATTATAGTATTCATGTAACAGTAATGTAATACGTACTTCACAATAATATAGGTTTATATAACCAATAAACAGTCGTGTATTTACAAACAATATTGCTCACATAATTTCAATAGTCAAATAAGCCTAATACTATTAGTATGTAACTACATTCATTTTGCAAATAAAAATATATTTCAAATTTATTGCATTAAAAATTAAATATTTCGAAGTTTTTTCGAATGCAAATTTTAACAGTATTTTATAAATATAATTCACTTAATTTAGTATACAACCCTATTTGTAGTTGGAAAAAATATTTACCTGTCTAAACCCCTGCCAACTAAAACTTCTTGAAGACGCACAATATTTTCATGATCACATTTCAATAATAATGATATCTCACGAAGCGCACTCATTGGTAATCCTTCTTTTTCATTTTCCATACGAATTTTTTTTAATGCAACAATTTGTTCCCCTGGTGATTTTTGATCTTTTGCACGATCTTAAAAGTTTAAAAAATTAAATTAATTTAACATTAATATATATCGAAAACATAAATGCATGAAAATAATAGTAGAGAGAAACACTACATAGGTACTCAGTAAACAGATTCATTTATATTTTGTATTTTTTTTTTTATATTCTAAATGCAGCAATAAATGTACAAGTTTTTTTTTTTTATTTTTGTTTATTAACAACTTTTCTATCAGATATCTTGCTCTGATTATAAACATCAGATGTGGTTTTTGATAGTAAATTTTATATAGTTTGTGAATTTTGATATTCCTTATAGTCATCCTAATAATCGGAGAAAATATGAATATTTAAACAATAATGATTCCTTATATTTTCAATTTAGTTTTATTAGCACATACCATTTTCTGATTTTGATACGAATACAATATTTTTTATTTATCAAAGATATTTACAAATTTAACATAAGGTACATAAGTTTTACTTAGTGATAAAAAAAATGTTGGGTGTAATGTAGGTAATAAGTAATAGGTCCTTTTTAGAAGTAATTGAAAAAAAGTAAAAATTGTAGCATTTCAAAACATAACTAATTAATTTTTACTGAGGATTGTTATTTGTTAGCAACAGGAAACACCCATTAGCAGTATCAGCTTTTTTTAAAAAATTATAGTAGATAACTGTATTAATAAATAAAACAAAACAAAAACCAACATTTAATATTTTTTGGGGCAAAATAATCAAAAGTAATATTAACACATTTGCAGACACTTGCAATATAATTTTTACTGTTATATTAGTAGTGCTATATCTACATTCAAAATCTATGTAAATTCTCAGTATGGACTGCTGTAATGTGACAGTCTACTGTATTCTGTGATTTGATACCATTGAAAAGATTACTGCTTCAGCAGTATTGACGTAATATATTTTACATATTACTGCTATAGTAATGTTCGTCAGTGTTTTAAGAAGCCACGAATTATCTCAATTCTCTGTGAGAGCAGAAATATGCATAGTTGATGAAGAAGCATTCTTCTAAATGTAAAGCAATTAAAAAATTGTTGTTCCAATGTGTAAAAGAATAATTTAGGACACTTATTATTACATAACAATGGAAAGGAGTTTTAATTGTTTATAGTCATTAAATGATTCATGTATGATAAAAATAGCAATGGATAGATGATAAAATTAAATATTTAACTTACAAACAACACCATAAGTTCCTTCCCCAATTCTATTCAATTTTTCAAACTCGCCCACAAAACGACATCGTCCAAGCTAAATGTGAACAATATATGTTAGAAATATATTTGCATTTTGTTATAATGTATATACTTACAAAATCTTTTTCTTGTATTGGCATGGGTTTGAGATCACAAAATGAAAATAATTGACCAGAAAGTGTCATAGGCCCAGTAGGATCGTAGTCTGCTAATACCTGTTTTGATTTCTTAATTCCACCGACTTCTAAAATTTTATCCTTTTTATTCTTTTTCGAATGCTTCTCTACAATACACAAACATTACAAGAGTTTTTTTTATTATGTATAATTTACAACAATTAATGTAAACAAAATTAATTTCAAACATACTCTTTGTTTTCCCCATGATTATTGATTTGATAAAATATTAACTTGAATAATTTCGGTTGTTTTTATGAGTTGGAACTTAACAAATATTGTCAAAAACACAAAATAAAAACCCGAAAAGCACAAACGGAATGAACATTAAAAAATTACAATACTGAGATACTTTATTGATCTTTAATGACTATTGGCCAATGGCGTTATCAACAGACGCCGACAGTCGACAGTTATCATTAAAAAACCATTTTCACAGTTTTATTTTATTGAAATAAGTACCTACACTGTCTATTCTGTGATAAACCATTTCAAATTTTCATTTTCACAGAGACACTTTAGCTTACATAACAGCTTCACTGTTTTCCCGAAATTATGAAGAAAAATAAAATTTAAAAAATTGAATTATACAAGATAATGTCAACCTTAAGAAACTCCAAAATTTTCGACGGAAATGTTACATATGATAAAATAATATTTATTATTAATATTATTTTGGTTAACTATTTAGTTTAACATCCCAGTCTAAATTCAAATGTTAAGCTGACTATCACAAATATAGTATTGAGTTCACTATTGTAAAATTTACGTTCTTAAATCTGAAAACATTAATTTTAAACTTTGGAGTCTGATTAAATGGCCACAACTTGACCAAATTTGACACAAATTCGGTATTATAAATGCAAATTACGAAAATTATAGCCTATGATAATAATTAAAATATTTGAACACATAAAAACATAATTTGTAAATATACAATAATTATGTAATATTTTAATTTTAAAATAAACAAAATTCGTTCTAATCTCGGAACTAATAACTAATCCAATCTCGGAAAAACCTAGTTTTTAATATTGAAAACATTGACTTGTAGAATAAATTCTTCAATAATTTTTTATTTCTAATATAATAATAAAGTAAAAAAGTAAAAATATTTATTTACCATGTTTATATCTGTTTACCTTTTATGTAAATGCAATCAAATTTTAACGGGTTTAAAATCTTATCTACTACATATTATTTTACATTGCCATATTCTAATGTCGATGAAAATTACGTTCTAGGTATTTATTAGTTTTTAAACTATTAGAATTTTGTATGTTTGAATATTTAAATATTGAGTGTTAAGCAGACCACGTTTCAAATTTTTTATAAATTAGAAATATGTTTTCGTAGATATCCATCCAATCCGTCGTATTTGTTAATTCTTCTGGTAATATTTTGTTACTACAAGACGGACGATCATCTTATTTCTTTTGCCCTCTAAAAAAGCACCCATTACCAAACATGCCCATGGTCAAAGTACGGCTGATTTCATTTTTTTTAAACAATTGTATTTATCCATCTGTTGTGCAAACTGCAAGATGTCAAAGCTTAACCATTTAGTGAGTACCTATCCACATGATCGCCATTTCTATGTAGATACTATTATTTCAACTAAATAATCGCTCGGGAAAGTCGTTATATTTATTTCGTAATTAATCAAAATATAATATAAAACTATGTTATTTAATTTATAAATTGTGTAGTATAGTATACAATTAATGGATTTATACATTTAGTTCATTTATATCGAATGAAATTCAATGTATTTGACGAAAATGTTAACATGTAAGTTTTATCACACCACTTTATGCGGGATTTGATAAAACATTAAATAATCCAACAAACATACAATTAATATTTTAATAGATCCAATCGGACAATATAATGCATCGACTTAATGTCGTCTAGTGTATAATTATGAATGTTATTATGTCTAAATATCTGAATAACTGATAAGTCTGCGTGAAACTAATTTTAATTTACAACGTAATATGATCCTTTTTGTTTTGTTTTTATAATCACAACTCTGGGAGAGCTAGTAGAATCCTTACATTGGAATCAAGGTGGATACCCACCTTGATTGAACTATATGACAACTTTACTATAAGGTAAGATTATCTTATAGTTCAATGAGATCCCCAACATGGAATAAGATTTATATCTATGTATATATCTTGATTCGTGATCCCTGGCTGTAAAACACAGGTACAGATACTATGTAGTAGAGAAACGAATTAGCCAAGTGGTTAAAAAAAATGTTTTGTCATTCGAATATAATTGATGATAGTAATAATATGCTATAATAATTATATTAAATACAAATAACTTTAAACTTGATTATCTGGAAATCAATAATATGTCACTTATACCCCTTGTGTTTTAGATGTCTCAATTACTATTTAGTACATTTTACTTCTGCACTTCTGTAGTTAATGAAGAATGATATATTTATCATAGAATATAATAAAATATTTATTATGGAGTCGTACTATTTATCACCTAGATAGCGCTGTGTGCTGATGTGAAACCCAAATTACGTTTTGAGCTTCACATTTTCACGGTTCGTTCTGCAACCATATTATTATCTACAGTTACCACAAAAATATTCGAAAATTGTGACATCTAGTTGTAGCACTTATGATCGTTATCATATTTTATATTTTATGGATTTGATAAGACCATGAAAAACCGTTACCCGTTCCTTCCCCGCCAGGTAACTTCGTGTCGGTTACAAATTACGATATCAGTTGGTGAAATTTTGACACGCGTAAACTTTCACGGCAACTTTTTCCACGAACCTGCTTTTATAAGTTCATAAGCCTTTTGTTAGTTTCGTATGTCTTTAGTTTGATTACAAGTCGAAGCACCTCAAGTTAGTCTAGTTTAACCATTTCGCTGAAAACCAGCCTAAAACATGTCCCTGGAAGACGTAGAAAACATCAAGAAGCATATTGAACACTTCAAAAAAACCCTGATGGAACTGACTGAGACACAGAGTCCAAAAGAGTCGGTGGAACACAAAATCCGCGAAATGTCCGCCGAAGTGGTGGACTCGAATCCTTATAGGTAAGTGTGTGTTTAGTTTTAGCAGCGAGTCATTGGATTTTCCTTAGTTATATGGCAGAAATAAAAAAAATTCAAATCTTCAGTATTTCCTGATAACTTTAACACACCTCTCCCCAACAAAATAAAATAAATTAAGTTGGCTAATATTTGTGTAGTTATTTTATTTAATATACAGTTATTGTAATGTTTAACTGCTAAGTGAACATTTTATTTAGATAAGTAGTTATTTTTGTAGTATAATTAAATTTTGAAAATATTTAGTCCTATAAAATTAGACAATTAAAAGTCAATTCTTTTTATTTATAATCATATACTTAATCATTGCTTAAATTTAATTTGTCTGGATGTCTTTTTTTTTCATCTCCTTTTTCTATAGTCAATAAAGCCAAGCCAAAATGATCCTTTATACATAGTGGTACTTTCCAAGTAAGTTTTTATAAGTTATAACTTCCAGAAGCTATGTTTTACGCTTTTTAAAGTTATTGGAATAGTTAACATTGTCCAAAGAGCTTAGGTTTGGAAATATGTAAGGTATGACTATGAGACCCCAGGCAATGGCCCTACTCACCCAGCCCTGAATTTAAGTTGATACTCAATGGTAACTTTATTCTTGTATGTTTGTTCAGTCGTTTGATGGCTCTGCAGCGAATGGGCATAGTAAAAAACTATGAGGACATCAGAAAGTTCACTGTGGTCATAGTTGGTGTAGGTGGTGTTGGAAGTGTTACAGCAGAAATGCTGACCCGCTGTGGTATAGGAAAGGTGATATTAAAAGAAATGCCCAACTCAGAACACTCATTAACTTATATTTATGGTTTTCAGTTAATATTGTTTGATTATGACAAAGTAGAATTGGCCAACATGAACCGTCTGTTTTATCAACCCGCACAAGCGGGATTGAGTAAAGTTACAGCCGCATCAATGACTTTGACCAGAATCAATCCAGATGTTAAGATTGAAACATACAATACAAACATTACCCTGACCACTCAATTTGAAGAATTCTTAAGGGTTTTACAGTATGTCCATACCTAATATTTTATTTATTTCATATTTTCAACTTTTCAACAAGTATATTATTGATTTTTCTTTGAAACAGAACTGGAGGAATTAGTGGAAATCGAGTTGACCTGGTATTAAGTTGTGTCGATAACTATGAAGCTCGAATGACAATTAACACTGCATGTAATGAATTGGCATTGGAATGGTTTGAATCTGGTGTTAGTGAAAATGCTGTATGTGGACATATTCAATACATTGTACCTGGAGAATCCGCTTGTTTTGCGGTAATACATACATTTAATCTACAACAAAATTTGCATACCTATTTATTGTTTTATTTTAAACACTTTAAAATAATGTCTATGGTTTGTTTTATAAAAACAAATTTAATTTATAAGTCTTTTTTTATAATATTAATTAGTGTGCTCCTCCATTGGTTGTGGCTTCGGAGATTGACGAGAAAACATTGAAAAAGGACGGAGTGTGTGCCGCAAGTTTACCGACTACAATGGGTGTTGTCGCAGGATTACTCGTTCAAAACACATTAAAGTAATTTTTGTAAATAATATTTTGTTTTTTCTTTCTACAATACTTATGATTTTTATAGAAAACTCTTGCATTTTGGAACAATTTCATGGTACTTGGGATATAATGCATTAGCAGATTTTTTTCCTAGCATGATGATCAAACCAAATCCTAATTGCACTGATAGTTTTTGTTTAAAACGACAAGAAGAATTTAAAAACCGTGTAATAGAAGAACCTGTGTGTAAAAATGAAGAACTACCTGAAGATAAGGTCATCCACAAAGATAATGAATGGGGTCAGTACTCAGTTTTTCAGAAATTGTATTAAGAATGGTTTCTAAGACATATTGTTTATTTTAAAAAAACAAGTTAGGAAGCATACTCTGTGGTCATGTTAAGTTCCTGGTTTCTAAATATTTTAAACAATAAACTAAATTCTATATACAATTTTCAAAAAATTTGGTAACCTAGTATTAATTGAATATCTTAAATTGTAAAGTCGGAGAATTTTAAAATTCCATAAGTACAATTATATTTACTCATTTAAATATATGATATATGAATCATATATATATATATATATATATATATATATATATATATATATCTGCTTGTAAATCAAATGAACAACCGTAACTATGTTGATGGACATACAGGAATTTAAGATTTTCTAAACTTACGTTAGCTTCGGTTTAGAAACCTAAAACTAAATATACTGTTCATATTGTGTGCATTGTACATAAACACCATAAAATATTATTCCCCTAGTGGTTTGAAGTATGTTAAATAAATATTATTTTGAAAATTGTAGTAAATGGAAATATACGTTTTAGGAATATCATTAGCAGATGATTCAATAGTAGTAAACCAGTCAATAGTGACAGACAAATCAACTGTGGCTGACAACTCAACAGCAGTTCTATTGGACAATTCTAGTGAATTGAATAATACAATAGAACTTGTTTCAACATCAATAACGAAAAATGTTTCCAAAAACACCAGTATAAAGAATGAAGAAGAATACTTATCGTTAAACGATGGATTAGAATTTGCTTACTCTTCTGCCGATAAAACTGCTACAAACGAAGAAACTTTAGTAAAAGACACAGACTTAACTGTAGATGATCTTAGAGCACAGATGGCATTACTATAATTGCCATTTAATTATAATCATATATATATATATATACTTTTTAAATTTACTTTGATGTATAAGCTTATAAATTTTAAAGTTTATATTGAATACAGATCCAATTTTTCTAACATTTTATATACATATACTTTAAATAATTTAATAAAATGGATTTGTATTTTATAATACAAATTATGGATACATTTAATAATTATCTCCATTAAATATTAAATATATTGTTTTCTTTAATATATGTAAAACAAATTGAATGTTGTTTAAATCAGTTTTGCACATAAATATTAATAAATGTTTCTATTATTAAAATACATTAAATTAAAAGACTTGTTTACATAAATGAAAACCTGTGGATTTTAATTTTGAGCAACTCGTGAAAAAAAATGAGAATTATGTCTACAGCTCTAATGGTTAGGTCTGTGCCACTGTATTAGTATGTACATTGTCACCTCAGAGTGCTAATTTTACTGGCGTACCATAAATTAATATTTTTAATAATTGTTATTATTCTATGCAGTGTACAAGTTGTTTACTTATCACTTGTCTATTTCCATCATTAAAATTTACGTCCTAGTTCTAGACAATAAGGGCACATATTTTATTAAGATGAAATTGTATAGGCCCTAATATACTGTTTTCTGTATATTAGTATCATTTGTATGTTTGCAAAATCTGTAGACAAGACTAGATTTTAAATAGGTACATATATTAACAGTTTTTATTTTATCACATCCTACCTACAGTAATTTATTTTTAGAAATTTTATACTAATCTGTGACTATAAATCCGATTTTAAAATCTATACAACAAATTTACCCTTCAATGCTTCTATTTAATCCTAATCTAAAAGTAAATTATAAAAAAATAGTTTTGTGGATCTATACTTGAAACCTACACAATAAATAGTAACACAAAATGTACTATCATCATTCTTTTTCTCTTTTAAAAATATTTATTCTAAAATATCAACAGGCAAATTTTAAATTTATTAAAACATTTTCACTTTTTCACTAAATTACTGTTTTAGTATAGTTATTATAGATACTATTATACATAAAAGTTTTTATTTAAGTAAGTAAACACATTGATAGGCATATAGTATGATGGGCTGCTTAGGTTGAGCCATGTAATGGTAATGGTATTCATCCAATGATAAATATAATTATAAATAATACAAAAACAAGAAAAAAAAAGTTAAAATAAAATGACCATACACACACAATTTTGAACATGTGCTTTTAGCATTTTTATTATACTGCGTACTGTAAAATATAATAAATATCATTTTTAAAAAAAATCATAATGGAGTAAAAAAATTTAAAGAGACTATTAGTAAGCTTCATCATCATCGTGATTGTTAGTATCAACCTCTTCTGGAGCAGCAAATCCTTCCTGAAATATCATAAACACATTTTTACTAATCTACATTATTAAAAAAAATCTATCGTAGGATAATGGGGACGGGTGCAGCCACTGTTAAATGTGAGAAGTTGGGAAAGTAGTAGAGGGGAAATTTAATGTATATCTGAAAGCAACAATAAACCAATGCTAACAAACAAAAAACGATTTTGAGCGGGTAAGTATGGTATGGTAAAAATAATTACATATGCATTATATATTTTTTTTAATAATATTTGTTTAATATTTTACCTATTTTCCTCCTTTTCTTAAGTTTTTCCATTTATTAAGAAACCTCTTGAGAAAATAAAAAATGACCACAGTCAGTCAGATTTCCTTTTAGAAAAATACTATCATTGTAAATTGGAGCAAAATTGCTAGTAGAAAAGTTGTAAAAAAAAAAAATTAAAACCATTATAAAATCAATTTATTCCTTTCTCTATTTAGAATCTCAAACAACAAAAGTAGTTAAATAAATGTTCAATTTGTATTATTATTATGCCAGTTTTTTTTGTTATATATTCATTAATACAGTAACTTAATTTTAATTTATAATAAAAACTATTTTTCTAAAGAAGTTCTAATGTTATGAATATTTTATAGTCAGTTATGACAATTAAAAAATAATAAGGAATAGTAATCAATTTATTAATTTAAAGTAGATGTGCAGATCACCTTACTCCTCTGGTTTAAACTCATAAATGGTAAATCTGATAGTAGGGTTACACGTATCAATATAATCTAGATATATATATTCTGTTATATACAGCAAAAATTGATGAAATATTCCCAAAAATATTCTTACTATACTCAAAATATTAAATAAAAATCATTGATAGTTAGATTATTAGATTGTAGATAATAGATTCTATTATTATTTATTGGTAAATTGTAACTTTGTGGGTATATCAGTGTAAAAATATATTTGCTCATGAGTATACAAACAACAATTTATCACAGTAAATCACTAAATCGATGACAAAAAATAAACTCAACTAAATTAAAAACAGTATTTCTGTAATATAATCCAATATAGCGGAAATATGCTAAAATATTTCAAAATATTTTCAGTCAAAATATGCACTTATATATATATATAAAAAAAAAAAAATGTTATAATAGATTCTACAGGTTATAAAACACAAACATTTCTTACTCCAATCAAACAGCATACGTTTGTTAAAAATATGTTATTGCATACAAATTCAGACTTTATACTAAGTCTCACGAGAGCTCAGAAGCCGAATTTCTCCCACTCCTTTGGGAGATATGCAGCAACAGATGAAAAAGCGTGTACCTTCTCTCGTGAGACGGAGTATATCAACATTTCTAGAAAAATATCCTCTATTCAAATTGAAAAACATAAAAATTAATCAAAATGATTAAAAAAAAAAAGAAATCAAACTTATTTGGAATCTTATTTATTGGTTGGGCCATGATAAAAATTCACTGTATGTGAACTTGGTAAGATTAAATAGATTTAAAACTATTTTTCTTCACATTTTTAATAAACATGATCTGTCTAATAGTTTTAATTAGAAAAAACTAAAGTTAAATATATTTTCAGGAATGCTTAGTGATGCGTTGTTTTTAGATAATTGGTAGAATTCCTTTAACAAAATAATTGTAAACTAGCCAACAAATGTTAAAGGGCCTACATAAATGAACAAAATTATATACTAAAACTGTACACAATATTTATAAAAAAAGTTATTTGCTTTAGTTTGGTAAGAGTTCAGAATAAGTCAATAATATTATTCAATATTATTAAATTTATAAAATTTTGTTTTAATCTTTAGAAAATATTTGTATAAAATAAACTTTTTTTGCATACATACCTCAGTAGCGTAAAGAATTTCCAATACTTTTGAGAATAATGGATGCTCACTTTCTTGTTCCTGGCATATCACCTCAATGTCTCGCAATTTACCAAAATAGAAATCACGTTCCTTTTCCAGACCTTCAACTGTAACTCTTAAATCGCTCATCTATATTAAAACAAATTTATAGAGGTACCATTAAATTACTAAAATTAAAAAAATCTATAGGTGTATTAAGTTTACCTGTCTAGTAAGTTCATCAATTTTATGATCACCCCTGTCACGCTGACTAGCAGCAGGTGCTGCTGGTCTTGTTGAAGGTACGCGATTAGACACTAAAAATAAAATTACACTTTATTAAATACCTCTATTGAGAAATTGTAAATAATTTATTTAAAAAAAAAAATTATTTTATATTAATTAAATAAAGTTAAGGAAAACTAAATTATAACAAAGCAAATGAAAAAGCATATTGCCGGGGATTTGGGATAATTTCGAGTTAAAATACGAACTATTGCTGTTACTCGCGGGACGGAATAAACGATTAGTGGTGGTAGCATTTCTAGGTGGTACTGCCGCTGATGGCTTTTTCACAGGACCCGCTCTGGCTGCTGCACCGGCTGCTCCCATTCCCTCACCACTGCGCGCACCTACTGGGTCGTATTCATTCATTTGATAATTGGTGTCAAAAAACTTTTTGAACCATTGCAAAAACTCGAAATTATCCTGAAAACGTCCCTTGACCAGCCTATCTATGGGTACTATCTGCAAAATAAAAAACCATGACAAAATTTAAAAAAAAAAAAAAATAATAATAATAAAAAATAAACAAAAAAAAAATAATAATATTAATTCAACAGTTAAATAGAATGGTTTTTACAAATCCCAATAATAAATTATAACGAAACAAATGGCAAGATATTTAAATTAAAGTAGTCAAATTCTTAAAAACACTTTATTTAGTACTAAATTTGAAATTTTAGTGTTCAACAAGTAAGTATCTACCGTGAAGAAAAGGTAAGATGAAAACTTATAAAATATTATTACTAATATTACTAATAATATTAATTAATATTAAATGACTAATTATATCCAGCCGGATGTTTATCAGACTTTTAATCACACACATTGAAAAAAATAAATCATATATCAAATTGTACTAGAAAACTCCACTCAATTTAATAATTTGTAGAAATTAAAAATAAAATTTTTGCAGATAAATAAATTGCTAAATGTTAAGAGGGGACTCAGCATTTTTCCAACATTTTTTTTTATTTTCATAGATAGTTACTAAATAAGGCCATTGTTTGATATTAAAAGGAGATTTTTATCAACCAATAATAACAACATTATAAAATGGTAACATTTTCACTTCATGTTAAATAGGGACTTCTGCTGTAGTAGTCCAGTTTCTATATAAATTTGTAGGCTCCGCATATTAGTTTTGTATAACTTATATTTCACAAAAGATCAACAACAAAGATTCAACAAAAAATCAAAAGTTTTATGATTCTGAAGGAATCAAAAACTATAGATGATCAAACACAAGCAATTTGTATCAATTACAAGACTAATGTATCTTTACCTATAATAGGTATAATTGTGCATAATTTTTTTTTTTTAACAACTTACATTTAGCAACCTTTAGAATTCAAATGTCATGAAATATTATCGTTAAGAATATTTCAAGTTAAGTTTTTTAAATTTTAAAATATATAGTATTTGATATACTTAATTTATATAAATAATCATGAATACTTTAAGTTTAACACGTTGACGGACACTTGTAATTTAATTTTTACTGTTATATTAGTAGTGCTATACCTACATTCAAAATCTATGTAAATTGTCAGTATGGACTGCAATAATGTGGCAGTCTACTGTCTTTTATGATTTGATACTATTGAAAAGATTACTACTTCAGCAGTATTGTAGTAATATGACATTTTATATATTATTGCTATAGCAGTAATATCCGTCAATGTGTTAAATAAAAATATATCAATAGTAAAATCCAGTTTAGAATTTTCCAAATTTTGACCATTTTATACAGGTTATTTATAATCTGAAACCATTAGCACAAAGATACCAACCAAGACAAAAATAATTTGATTTAACCCTGCACTGTAGTATAAAAAATAAATAAAAAAGTTTAAATCTAAAATAAAAAAATAACTAAAAAAAAAGATAAATATAATAAATAAAATTATTAAATACCAACTAGCTAACCAATCTACCTAAAACACAATGAACTATAAAGATGTATACACATTCCATCTAAATTGATGATATTTCTAATCACTATGTTTCTACAGTATGGTATTCAAAACTGAAAACTAGTAGGTATATGTAGGCATAGATGTGAAGATTATTAAATTATGTTTACATGCAAGTATAATAAATTATTGTGTACATTTGATTAAATATTTTCTGTCTGACAATGAATATTAAATGTCCACTAAATATATGAGCCTAATTAAAAAACACAAAAACCGAGTATTTATGAGTACCATGTCCATAGGAAGGACTTCTATAAGTGCGAGCAGCTTGTGGTACACGATATGGTGGAGGTGCTTGGAAACCACACACTTCTGTTGTACCAGAACCAACCATAACACCACCACGTGCTTCAAGACCATCATAGTCACGTCCGTCATAATTAGCATCAAAGAATTTTTTGAACCATTGTAAAAATTCAAAGTTGTCTTGAAAACGTCCTTTGATTAAGCGATCAACAGGAATCACCTGTAAATTAATTTTTTACCACCCCATTTGTGGGTAAATACTAAACCCATAAATGGAATACCCAATGCTTTTTTGAAATAATTGTATATAATTACTTAAAATAGGTAAAAAAAAAAATCATTAGTACTAAGTATAGTGTAAAATATCACAGTACAATGTTAACTCATATTTAGGTAATTTATATCATAAATTAAATCAAATATTTTAAACTTTTGATTTATTATAATAAGCTTTGAATTAGATATATATTTAATAAAATGTTCAACATACCTTATCAACTGACATTTTTTTAAAAGCTCCTTGAAGTATTTTAAAATTTTGTATATATTCATGTTCCAGATTTGTTCTAAATTTAACTCGTTTCAATTGCACACTACCTATAAATAATTAAAAAAAACACTTTAAAAGTATTTTAATGAAATTTTTAAATTTCTATGAAAATCATTAAGAATATGAGATTTAACACATGCATGTATTTAAATAATTAAATATATAGCTGATTGTAAATACTATCTATGTAATAGCATAAGTTATATGTATAGATATATAAAAATAAAATAATACATAATAATGGATTTTTGTTTTTGAAATGTTTTCAAAAATTGAAGACTAAGTTTGTGTTGAAATGACATATTCATAATACCATTCTTGCTTTATTCATTTTTTTTTTTAATAACGTATAGACAGAAACTTAGTAATACCTACCTTTTACAAGGAATATTTTTAGAAATATAATTTTGATAATTTTTTATTGTAGAATATAGCAGAAGATAGACTGATTGACTAGTATCATGAATTAATAAGTGATAAGTACTTGAAAGGTGTTTGTACAAAATATATGGTTTTAATTAAAATATTAAATGTTAGCCTTAGAATCAATGCCTATCACAATTTTGTTAGATTGAACTGTCATATTTTTTTTAATGATACATTTAATTAAACAATTATAAGATTGTGATTAAAAAAAAAAAAATCATTATTTATTTTTAAAGTAGTTAATTTTTTGTAATATTTACTAATCTATAAATATTTGATATCATAGAAGTAAATTAATACAATTGTTTTTTCTCGAATGTACCAGACAAAAAGCTTTTCCCATTATCATAACCATTAGGTCAATGATAAAAAAATATGTTTAATCAATGTCTACAAACAGATAAGATTTAATTAAGAAAAAAAAAATAACTTCAAAATGATTTACAAAAATAAAACATAAATGTTTAAAGTATTTCACACAATCAGCACATTATCTATATATATATATATAAAAAATTGATATTTTGTTACTAACGCCATAACTTGAAAACGGATAGACCGATTTAGCAGATTTATTTTTTGTGTTTGTAATTGTCAAGACAAGATTTTTGTAAAAAAAATTATAATTTTAACATTAAATTATGAATAAGCAAAATAAAAATTGTAATAACTTACCAGGGAACAACATATCCATAAATTGACAATAAGCTGCACCAGAACATAATTCTTCAATTTTTGTAAAACTTGCAGACAATGTATCATTTACCCATGCCAGCATGTCATGACGACTCAAGTTATCCAACGTCACGTTAGTTGAATACACATTTATAGCCATATTTACTTATGAGTCTAAAATAATATAGGTATAATATGTATTTATCAGTAACAATGTAAATGTTATTCATTTAATTAAAAATAACTATTGCCTATACCTACTATTCGGTTAATTAATATCAATTATGATCAAGTATGCATGTTTGCTACAATAGTGTTTTAATTAGATACCTAACTGTTAATAAAACTGTACTGACCAACATACATAAAACTCGTCTAAAACCATTAATTATATTAGAACAGAAGATTTTTTTATAACACCTAGACCTAAAACAGTTAAGGATTCAATTTAAACAGGAATTATTAAAAATACCAAAAACATTTATAATTATAGGTATTACATATTTAATTCAACATTTCAGTCAATTAGAAATAGATAAATAATTAACATTCAGATATATTGAGCACCTATGACTAGTACATACAAATTTAAAATTATTTATGGGTACCTACCAATATTAATTGTATTTATAATAGTTTTTAATATTTGATAAAATAAACTTAAAATATTTATTTATTCATTCATGGGTATGGCACATACCTAAACAATAATAATCATAATAATGACTGATGACCATGAGTAATAAATAATGTTTTTTTAAGCAAAATACCTATAACAATTTATAACATTAATATTATATCTTGGTAAATAATTAATTTATTGAATAAATAACATGTTCAAATCTAAACGGTACCAACTTATGTTGTTACATTTTTTTTTTTCAAATAAAAACTTACTAGAATTATTTACCACCATAACAAAAAAAAAAAAAATAAATAAAAGTTACACCTATGTACCTATAGGTGCATCTATATAAGGTGAGTTTATATGCATATGGCAGAGTATATTATGATAATTTATGAATGTATACTAGAAAACTAATTAGGTAGGTGCCTACCAGCTATTACTTATGAAAAAAAAGAGGTGAATAGTAAATTCTAAATAATAAATACCTAGAAAACCTACCTATTTACCCAGATATTTGCCTAAGAGTATGAATTAAATAACAATGTATAATTAGGTATGTGGCGATATTTTAGTGTTATAATATTAAAAGTATTACCGATAATAATAAAATTATTAAGATACAAGATATACGGGACTATAATAATATATTGGAAGCACAACGATTCTCAATAAAATATCCAGTGAAACAGTCGCCTGAGCAATGAGGTGAAATACGAATAATTAAATAAACCTTGAGAAACGGCATATTATTAGATGGTTTAGAACTGGTTAAGGCTAAATAGGTAGTTACTCCTCGACCACGATAATCTATGACTATAGATGGGCGTACTAGAAAACGCATATACACACGCACGCGGATAATATTTTGATGTCATTCGACCAGAACGCCAATTAACAATAATAAATATGTACGATTTACCCACTCGAAAACCGTCTCAGAACGTGAAAAAACTCGTACAGACTCCTACGAGAGAACGTCGTTGGAGAGATTTTGAATTCGCTCGTCTGCGATAAACGTAGCGCCAAACTCGCGGAACGGACCCCCGCCGATCGATGATTTTCTCGAGACGAACCACCGTTGTACTATGAATTATAATAAATATACAATATTTGTAACGAAGACGAATTTTAAATGTTTCGGAAGTTTAATAACGGAGCGCAGCCCAAGACGTTATGTCGTTATCAATTATACAAAATAACGGGTCACGGGATCCGCGGATCGTGAAATGTACGTAAATGATGCGGTGTCGGGATAAAACCTTCGAGGACTTGCGTACCTGCACGCAACTACGACCGCCCAACGGGCGCGTCGTCCGGACGACCAGTACGGGCGTACGGCCGATAAGGTCATAATAAACAACCAAGTCGGGCACGGGGTTCCGCGGCACTCGTCGTAAGGACTGGCGAGTACCTGTCGCCGACGTAAAAGGCGATATCGCCGTTAAACGCGGCGGACGAGCGGAAGTTTGTGCAAGGGTAAAGCGTCGCCATAGAAATATTATTGAGAAACTCTTAATAATAATATTATTATAATGTCTTTGGCTGGCGCCAACAACGCGGACGTAAATGTAAAACTATAGATACACGCGAGAAAAATGGACAGTAAACACCGACAGTAATACGTCGTGTCATGTATTTGATTACTATTCGTCGGCACTCGGCGAAGTATCTACAATATAATTTGGAAAAATACAACTTGTCGCTTCATAACGGTTGTTTTTTTTTTCTCTCGTTATTGTTAAGCGTTATTACTAATTATTTTACCTGTAGAAAAGACAACGTCGTCCAACGGCCGACGGATTATGTTCTTCGGAGCCGTAGTCCTGTATAATACCCTATTTGATTGATCGGCAGTGGCCGCGAGTGCGATATTTCCCGAGCGTGCCCGGCGAAAATTGTAAACGAGCGAGTAAAATAACTGTCCGCGATCGATTAAGCGCGAATATATAATAAATTTAAAATAATAATAAATAGGAATTTACGTTCTCGACGATCGCACGTCGGGAATCGGGATGACGGGCTCAACGGCGACGATCGGACGATGACGGCCGACGAATTTTTTTTTTGCGTTCACCGGTTACTGGTCACCGGGTGGTTACCACTGGTTTCCAGTGTGGTACGTGGTCCGTCGTCACGTCCCGTAGTCAAGTGCCGACACTACGTACGATAATAATGCGACCGTATCAATGCGATTCCCGTAGTCCGTACACCGACTATCAAATACTAAGCCTAGACAATAGTGCAAGATAAAACAATTTAAGTTTAATGATAAAGTCCCTTCAATAAAAATAACAATACTACATTACTGGGGTTCAAATTTCTAGTCAAAAGTTTTTATAACCTAACAATTCTACAATTTCAAAAAAAAAAAAATTTTACTATATTTTACGGCACATTAATTCCCTTTTCGTCCGCAACCCGGCTTATTCGTGATTACTGATAACACGTATTATTTTGTTCCTAATTATATTTATTTGTACCACGTAAATAGATATTGTGTTGTATTGTTTTCGTCCGTGTACTGTATAGGATTTAACTTTAGGGACCATTCAACGATCGATATATTCATAAAATAAATATTGCTATATTATTATTTATTATTTTTAGTATTTTGTAGTGCTTCGAAAAATCCAACTATTTCGACGTTTGAAAATGGCGAAAATTGTAGAAATCGTGGAAAAATTTTACGACGACTACGTAAAGACCACTTCTAGAAAACTCAAGATAATCGACGCTTACTTGTTGTACATCATGTTAACTGGAATTGTACAATTTGCGTACTGTTGCCTAGTAGGAACGTTCCCGTTCAACTCGTTTCTCAGCGGTTTTATTTCGTCCGTTAGCTCCTTTATTCTCGGTGGTAAGTCACAAACTGTAGTATAAATTTCTGCGATAAATACAAGTGTTTTCACTTTATAAATGTTTACTGCTTTTTAATTTGTATAATGTTATTTTACAACAATCGTTATTTTGTTTTTACTTTTATATGACATATTTATGCAAGGCTCATTTAAAATATTTTCTGTTTTAATCTTTTACTAATTCCATTCAATCATTTCCTACAATAAATATTATATTATATTATTTTGGAATTTGTTACCATAATTTTTAACACTAAGAAAGATACACACTTATCTTGGATTGGTAATGAATAACTTTCGTCTAAATACTTTAGCTATATTAAACATTAATAATGATTTAAAATTCTGTATCAATTATGATAATAGTACCTGCAATTAAATAATCCAGGAAGTAATTAACATTTTTAATTACTGGCATATTTTTAACATCCTACAATTTCATCTCTGGTCGGCAAATAAATTAATACAGTCTTGTTTATGTGGGTGAAATAAATTTAAAACAAATTAACACAAAGATCTGACGTCTGAAATAACTTGTTTTCTTCAATATTTTTAAGTTTTTTTTTTTCTTACAATAATTACTAGAGCTTAATGCTATATACAAACTTAAACATTTAAATTTTTTCAAAAAATTGTTTTCACCAAATCCATGATAAAAAGCCATTTTATAAATATATTTTGAAATTAAATGTTGGTGTCACAAATATTCAATTATGATAAATTGTTCATTTTCTATATTTTTTTTTTTTTTTTTTTTGAAGTTTACCAAACGCATTCAAATTACCTATTATAAAAATATTATAAGTTTTAAAAAAATAGCGCGTGTTGTGAAATTTCAAAAATTATGAATATTGACAAAAAAAAAATGTAAAATACTATTTGCCAACTTTATAACGAATGTTAAAAGACAAAGTCTGATGCTAAAACTGATGAAATTTCAGAATCAAAATGATTCGCTTTTAAGATGTTTTTGAAAGATAAAAACAATCGAAGGTTTTACCTTTAAAGAATCCTTTAAAGCGTCAGCCAATGCTAAACAAACTTCAGAAACGATTAGAGTAATGCTTTGTTTAGACATTTTAAAATTATACATCAAACTATGATAGGAATAACCGATGGCTAAGAATCTCAGTGCTTTTACAGATTCGGTGACTAACAAGATTAATCAAAAACTCAAAATCTGTACTTGAAATTTTTAAAACTACCATAACACCTATTTAAACAAAATATAATTTAGTAAAAGTATTTTTCATAAATAGTAGAAAAAATCTGTCATTTATGTGAATTCATAGGAAAAACACATAAATCTTCATTTCATATTATAATCTATTTATTTATTTTTAAGTATCGCAGCGTATTGACCCATCAAACAGTTAACATTGTATTAGTTGTATTTATATATTGAAAAAAAAATTTCTTTTTTGCCATTTTTCATGTTTTTATGGCATATTATAGCTTATTTTAAGATTTGTTAGGTCAATTTAAAATATCAATTTAAATTAAAAAAATGTTGGTGAACACCTTTATTCACTGAACCTTTTCACTTTTCTACAAACTAAGTTAATTAACACTGGTTTTTTTAAAAAACTTAATCTTTATTTATTTTATTAGGAAAATAAGTATGAAAAACACCCATGTAAGTGAATGTATATACCATATATCTATTTTTATTTATATTATTTAAACATCTGTATAAAATATGTTTGTCTATTAATATATAGTTAATTAATTGGTTCATGACTAATAAATACATTTTTTCAGTATGTTTACGACTTCAAGCCAATCCACAGAATAAAGCACAATTCAGTGATATAAGTCCAGAACGTGGATTTGCTGATTTCATTTTTGCTCATATTGTGCTCCACTTGACAATCGTAAATTTCATTGGTTAAATTTTTAACTTAATATTTAATTTTCAAATTTTAATTAATTTTACTGTTTTGTTTTTGTCCACCTCAATATAGATACTATATTCTGTAAATAAAGGTTTAAATAAATATACATACTTAAAACACCATATTGTTGTATATTTTTATTCTTCATCAATAATAATAATTTGAATAACATTTGTATTAGTGTTTTTACATTAACACATGCGTACAAAACCTATTTTTTTCTTATAATTAATTAAGATTATTAAAATATATGTTATAATAGGATTTACAATTTGACTAGGAACCGAATGTCAACACAATTCTATCAATACATTGTCTTAAGTACATACAATATTTTAGGTTAAATTGAAATGTAATTACTTTTTAAAAATAAGTACAAAAGTCTTCTAAATTAATTTATATATCACAAAATATATGTTTTAATTATTTAACATTAATTTATATAGCAGTACTCTGGGCATAATAAATACCTCTGTTTAATTAAAAAAAAAAAAATTAATAACAATGTGCAAAAAAATGCACATTTTATTAAATACATGCTATTAAAAATCTCCAATTAAATACTTGAAATTTAGATAACACACTATTTCAATACTCTTTACATTTAAACTTGACCATAAATTATTATCAAACTGCATTTTTGCCAGTTTAGTGGGTACTAACTTTAAAAATAAATTAAATTAATTTGACACTTTATTTTAAAGCATTATAATTGTAGCATCATTATTTATAATTTTTTTTTTTTATAATGTACTAATTTTTTTAACTAATTCATTAAATTACAATAAATACCAAATATAATTTAGCCAAACACAGATTAAACATATTTATACAGTATAATAATAATCTTAGGTGGGATATTAATTGTTATTTAATATAATTATGTGTATACTTAACAATAATATAACTTAATTATTTACAAATTAAATTAATCAAATCAGAATAAAACGGCCAATTTTTAAAACTTATTATTTATTAGGAATTACTAGTATATTTATTTATTTTACATGATCATATAATTTTTTTTTAATATCCTTAAAAATTAAAATCAAATGTGTTTCTAATTACAGTCTTTTCTTTTTTTCTTTTTTATGTGTATTCCTTTACAATGTCTTATTCAGTTTTTGACGAGCTTACTTTACTCATGTACTTCTGTCTTGCTTTCATGATCATTGTCTGTTTTCGAACTCTCAATATATTTTCTCTTTCATCTGGTGACTTAGAAAACTGACTGCCCAAACTCACGAGATCGTCTATCACAGGTTCTCCAAGATTTGTGTTAAACCTAATTAACATTTACATGAGATATTACACCCGATATTAAATTACAAAAATGTTGTGGGACCAAATTATACTTACTTAGTATAAGAAGGTGCATTGATAAATTGTTCAACACTGCTAACTGTTGGTACACTTTCAATGATAGCAGGTTCGTCTTCAATATTTTGTAGAGGTGAAACGAGTCTACCTTCTAATATGTTATCAATAGTCAAGTCGACAGAACGAGTTGTTAACAAATCTTCAATAATCATACTCATGGGATAGTATGGAAACAGTTGGAGAACCTACCAATTTATGAAAATATTACTTTAAAAATAAATTATTTAGTAAAACAAATTTAACCTGTCGAGCCATTGTTTCCAATTGCGAAGTAAGTATTTGAGATGGAGGTCTTAAGGAATGTGTAACTTCAACAGAAAAACTTGGTAACCACGACAAATATCTTGAACCTAAAAAAATATTTAAAATGTCAGATATTAATATTATTCATATTTAAAGATATATATATATATATATATATATATATATTAATATTAACTATTTTTTGAAAATATTTTTAAATTATAAGTATTAATTTGCAGAAAACTAGTATATAGCCTAAATCAAAATACCGATACAATTTAATTGCGTACAAAAATTAAATACATAAGAAAACAAAATTATACTGAACTAGTTATTAGTTACCTAAATCTGATTTTAAATTAATATTAATAATTAAAAACTATATATTAAAAAATGAATTAAAGTTAGTCAAAAATAAATAAATAAAAAAAACTTTATAAGGCATTGATGGGGTAAGACTTGTAAACAATATCAGATAAGTTATATTCCTTCAAAAATTGTAAAAATATAATATCTTTTATTTACCATCGAAATGAAAAAAGTGATGAGGAGTGAGTGCATGTGTACCCAACGTGTCTTGTCCAACATTATTAGTGTTATTCATTGGTATATTTTGATCATGGCCTAGTGTTAATGATAATCTGCATGTAGGGCAAGACGGTTCTTGTTCCATCCAGGATTGTAAACATCCATTGTGAAATAAATGCCCACAAGGTAATTTTCTAGCAGAGTCCATTTTTTCCCAGCAAATAGCACAATTATCAGAGTTCACATCCAATTCTTCAATGGAAGCCATAGGATAACTAAGAGTAAATAATAAATATTAATAAAACACAATAATAATAATGATAGAATTATTTAAATATATAAATTAATTGGATATTGAATAACCTCTAAAAGTTTTACAAAGATTGAATGTAATTTCTTAATAGATTCTAAACTATTATCATTTGTTACATGTATAAAAGCTATTAATATTATTTTTAATACTTAAAACAGAATTGTATTATGTATTGTTTAATGTGTTATTGTTTTATATTCAATAAACATTTGCTGGCAATAAATTAAATTAAATTATTTAACACAATTGTATCTGAAAGAGTATAAATACTTATTATAATCAAATTACCAAACTAAGGTATTATTATATTAAGATTATATTATTATAAGTAATAGTTAGAAACTAAAGCATGGGAGTTTTATCACTTTGTTAAAACCATTACTCGGTGCTTTAGTACTTCAAATGTCAATAGTAATATTACAAGCAGAAAGTTTTTTATTTGTTACTCCATATACTTATTACTTTTTTTCCAAGTGAGAATGCACCCATAGAAAATTTTTATGTTTTTGAAGTCGCTTTTGAATATCACTAATTAATTGTCGCATGTGCATAAATATTACAAAACCAGCCATTGTCAGATATGAATTCGTCCATATAATTGCATGTGAGTAATGAAGTATTTCCATCACACGTATACCAAGGTCCAAACCTAACTCTGAATAGTAAATAAACTTTCCAGGACTAGTCGTATGATTTATAGAGTTACGATGAAACAGTTGAATATAATGTCGAAGAAATATATGAGCAATACTTCCAGCCAACATTAAGCACTGGAAAAAAATAATGATGTATAATAGATGAAATATTTATTAAAAATTTAAATTTAAAATAATAATAATATAATCATATACCTCAATGACCATAAAAGCAAATATATGTTTCGACAATGTAAGGCCGACTAGATATGCAAAATTCAACAAAAATAACGAAAATATAAATCCAATAGATAATAGTACAGACATATGAATATATTTCCAATTCACTCTAGTTCCAGTTCCCATGGACATCCACATCTATATATATAAAAAAAACAAATTAAATTAACCATTCAGTAATAAAAAAACATTTTGACAGTCTGCATAAGTACAGTTTTATTAAATTGTACTTCATGGCATGTTGTAAAAATTTTTATTGAGTAATTTTAGTTATAATACTTCTATCAGAGTTTGAATATTTAGTACAATATATGTAAAACATATAATTTATACAAGCATATTAAACCAAACAATATAAAACTACTTGGTTGTATACTGTATCAAGTTATATTTATATAGTTTTATAAGTTTATCATTATTATTTTTATTTTAATTGTCATTAATTAATTGAGTTATTCATTATTAATAATTATTAATTATGTACCTACATTAATATTTAAAATTTTTAAATAATAATAAAAAATACATTTGCTTTAGTTTTATTATGAATTCAACAAGATAGATGTGATGTGATTTGCATTAATTTATTTATATTTTAGTTTTGATGTGTAGTTTAGATAGTATCTACTATTTTTACAATGAAATGTATTTATTTATTTAATATTTTTTTATTTAGGTATTTACCAGTTGAACTGAAATATAAGACAAAAATAAACACTTTATATTAATACAAAATTTAAAATACCAATACAAAATAGTAAATAATAATATATTTTATAGAGGAAAAAAAAGTATTCTTATGTTTTAGTCATTATATAGTTGAATATGTTTTAAACATGATATTATATGTGTGACAAATAAAATGATTTTGACCATTTATTTATATCACCAACCCTGGTTTTTATCACATCAAAACATAGAATAACAAAATATTACCTATTATTTTCACAAATTACAATTGTCACATTTAAATTTTAACTACAATTATTGTGATCTAAGAGTGACACTCAAAATTTAAACTTAAACACTTGTAAAATATAATATATTTAAGTGTTTCATTAATTATTCTCACTTTTGACCTCCTTTCTATAATACCATAAGTATATAAACTCTAATTAACTATTTATAAAATTGCTGTGTGTAACCATATAGAACAATACTATAATTATGGCCCGCCCCCATACTGAAAAAAAAACTATTCCAACAAAAAAATATCAAATAAATTGTAGGTATGACCTATAAAAAAAAAAAAAAATAGCAATTCATGTTTCTTTCAAAAACTAAAATATATAATATATAACAATATATAAATAATAAATAAATAAATTTACTTAAATCAGTTTTAATGGAAAATGTACAATGAAAGAAAATAAGTTCATTTTGGTCTAGGTTTATTTATGAGTTTTATTTAATGATCAACTGAATATTGATTATTAATATTAAAAAATCAAAACAATTAAAATATTATATGGATAGAACCGTGATTAAAAAGCTGTTTTAGAATAATGGGGACGGGTGCAGCCACTGTTGTAGGTGGAAATTTGGAAAAATAAGATACAGAAGGGAATTTAATGTATATTTTTGAATATATTTATTGAAATTCAAGCAAGTTTTTTGATCGAAAAGTTGTTTACAGATAGAAAAAAAACCCCATCATAATAAAACAAATAAATCGCTCACTATGCTAATGAGCCTTTTACTTGACTGTGAAACTTGATTATTGAAGTATGGTACACAATATTTAAGTTACCTACATGGATAAATGAAGAAAACAGATTTATCTTACATATATTATAACAGAAATGATATTGAAATAAAACATACATTAAAGTAACACATTAAAATTGCTTAATCACATAAAGATAAATTTATAAAACATAAACATTTTACATTCTGTTTAAAGGTTAAACGAAAATACCTATATCATTATTTAAAATATAAAAATTACCTACCTAATGAATGACTTTGAATCATAGTCAATAAATCGATTGCACAAATACAATGAAAAAATAATTTCATTTATTTATAATATTATTGTTTTAAACAAATAAATTACTTTATTACACACTACATATTTTGAATGAAAAATTAAATAGTTCGAGACAATTTTTAAAAATGTATGGAAATTATTTATTAAATAACAATTTAAAAGTACGTGTCTTCAATTTCACAACATTTTTTTAATTATTAAAGCAAACATCATGTTCGATGCAATTTATTGTATACCTACCAACTTAATGAACAACTTAATACATTAATCAAAATAAGAAAAGAATAAAACTTATAATTTTATTAAAATGATCTATCTATTCATATAATTATATTTACTATTTATGGATAAACTATTCTACAATTTTATGAAGGATTATATATAAATTAGCAATAAAAAAGTATATATACACATAATAAACTGAATTAACCAGTGTTATTAATTATTTCTTTATATAATATATTGACGTCACATAATAAAATAGTCTATAATGCACAGACGATCATTAAAAAAAAAAAAATGATTCAACCATTAAATGATAGAATTTAAAGTAATAGACATGTTGGTATTATTTAACATAATTATAGTTTTTTTCCTGAAATAATATAAATCATTAATTAATATTTGAATTTACTTATTTGATACTTACAATAAATACAAATAAAACATACTTAAACATTTATTATTTTGAGGTTGTTAGTTCTTAATAAAAAATATGATACAGGGGTGACCTTTCACTAATTTAATTTAACCACTTGGACTTAAACTTATTATTTTCTTTTTTTATCTATATTTACCCTCCAAATCAGAATTAAAAATACATAATAAAATACTTCTAAAGTTATAAAAAACTTCTCTTAAAATTGAATCAACATTGATTGTGATAAAAATTATTATTCAAAAAAATAATTAAGAATCACTCAAAAAAAATAGTAGTATTTTAAACAGCTAGCAGCATTTTTAAATTTTATTTTGTAGCACATTTATTTGAATAATCTTATTTTAAAATTTTACCAAATAGTCTTAATTTAAAAAAAATAATATGTTACTATAGTGTGCTGATGAAGAACGTGAAACAAGACTAAAACCTTTAATGTTCAACTATTTTTTTAAGTAACTCATATGTTCATTTGGTTTTAACTATAATATTTAATTTATAATGACAAACTAATATGTTACAAATTATAGTTATATTAACATGAGACAATTAATAAAAGTTATTTATATCAAGTATTAGAGAATTAATTATTAAAAACAGTACTTACATATTCAAATCGATCTTTACACAAGCTGGTCATTAAATGAAGAAATCCAAGAGTAGAATACCAAAAGAGCCAAAGTGCTACTTTGTCCAATGTATAAGCTTTAAGAATAATAAACATAAAAATGAACTTGTAAATAACCCAATTCCACAGGCGTTCGCGAAATTGTATGTGTTCCACAGGTCTTAGGTTACCAAGTACAAGTGACTGTATAACTGCACCAACCATCACTATGCTACATATTGCACCATTACAAAGAACCTGAAAAATAAAAATACTTATTAGTTTTAAATTTAAAATGGGTTGTGAAGCTATTTGCAAACAGTTATAGCATAAGTCACATTAAGGTAATTTTAACATTTTCGGAAATATAATACAGAATGATCAACATAATACAAGACACTCATTATCTCAGAAAGTATTAACCTTTTTCATTATATGGTTTTTTGAACATTTAAGAAATAGGTAGTTTTAAAAGTTACATTAGCTTTTTTTTTTGTTTTCCTTATTTTAGGGGGTTAAACTTACCTAATTTTGATCTTTAAATGACAACCTATATTAAAAGCTACATGAATACATGGATTATTAGTTTAAATATATTTTGGTGTTTTACCCTTTAAGATAATGGTGACAATAAATAACCATAATATACAATTTTAGGGCAACTTATTTCTTAAATGATCTAAAAACACAAATTCCGAAAAAAGTTAACACTTTCCAAAATAACGAGGCCATACATTATGCTGATCATCCTGCAATAGACTTATTAAATTATATATTTTTTCTTCTATGATTTTAAAGTACTAAGTATTCTCGTCCCAGTAAATTGAGGAACACATTTTTCTTCAAAAGATATTACTGGTTAACTTTATAATTTAATAAATTATCATTAAAAGTTTTTAAAACCAAAAATCCAATGGGTAATATAATATAATATTTTAAATATAGAATCAGTAAGAAATTAAAATATTTTTTATTTATCATACATAGATGGATTAGACTAAAATAGTTTTCATTATTTATATTATTTTTTCTGACGAGTGATGATGGTAATTTGACGGATCCGACCATAATAAAATTTGAATCCTATACCCACAACTTTGCATATATTACATGTTATTTTAAGTCATAATATACGATATTTAAATATTTATTTACGTTTGGACTTTATGATTGGTACTTTGTTAATAACGAATATATAACATATAATTTTAATTATTTTACTTTAAATATTATAGGTACGGTCATTATTGAATACTATTTAACAGTTTTCCTGTTGTCGGGATTTCGGTTTTTCGTGCACTTGTTACGGGATACTTTACACACGAACTCGGTTATCGGAAATCCATAATTTAGAGCCAATCCGGATACTTTGACGACTATTATTATTTATGAACGTGTTCGAATATCGGTCAATGAACGTTATTTTTTTCACCGGTCGACACCTTGCCGTTTAGGGAAAGAAGGTCTATTAGATATAGTAACTAGAAGATATTAAGTAAATAACCCTTGTCCAAATTGGACCCAATTGATTCAAATCAATGAACTCGTTTGCAGAATGCAGGGCTCGGTTATTTAGATTCGCACAATCATCTGTGATCCCAAACGCAAATAGGACTTTTTTAGGAGAGAAGAAGGGCCAAACTCAGATCCCTAAATTATATTATAACTTCAAAGATTAAGCTAGATTGGTCACTTTATTTAAAATAGCATAAATATTTTTGTTTTCGATGTTGGACAATATATTTTTTGTAATTTTAGTGGTTAAAATATGCCTCTATAGCACAAGAAATTATTTATAAAATTAGTTATGTTATGCACTATTTCATATTTTCCTTAAGAATGAGTTTGGTTCAATGGTTCAAAATTTTTGTACCACGATACGAAAAAAATTACTAACTACATTTTTGCCATTCAAACCGATAATATTATGAGCCACAATAGTAAGGAAAGGTTTAGTTTTTCTTTTCAAATGTACAATCTCGCGTACAGATAATGTTATGACGAATAATACCATCTACACTAGACGTAGACATGGCGGCGAGATCGAAGGCTTAGTCTATTGACACTGTATAGTTTTACAATTAAGTAGGTAACGGAAAATGCAACAAAAATACGTATAGTGAAAACTTATTGCAAATAAAAACGTGAGTCGGTAACAGATTTTCGTGTATAGATAATATAATATACCTAAGTAATGTGAGATTTATAGATTTTGCGTACTTATAATATATTACCTTCTCGAAGACGACCAATACCCAAGAAAATAATATAGGTAATTGTGTATTAGAAAAAGCGTACTATTTTAGAAATGTCTAGAATTTTCTAATGAGTCATAATGCTTACATATCGAACATCTGATAGTTTTGCATGTTTATTATTGTTAAATAATGTCAAGGGTATATATTAGTTCATTTCGGTCTAGTACTAGTTGACCTTAATATTTCCTCTCTCCGTTAAAAAAAAAAATACATTAGAGTTCATTGTGATTTAAGAGGGTCTCATCTAGTTAATATATTTTATTTTAAAAGCATTTAAACTTTCAACTATATTTCATCATTTAAGTGTGTAGATAATCTATAATCTAGGTAATCTGAATTTCGCACAACACTATAAATGTACAATTGTCGTATACATTTAATTTTAAACAATTTAATAAAGATATAAAAAAAAATACCTAGTTATTTACAAATGTAATGTTATAATTGACTATCGAGGCTGGTGGCTAAAATTAAATCCAATGTTTATAAACCGATTATACTTTTAATAAACAATATAATATTGATCACGAGTAGACTTTCGAAATTTATATAAAAATTAGAAAAATAATAATTAGACTATATAATTTGTTCTTGAAAATAATTGTTTAAAATCTGGTGTTATTAATAAAATATATAATGGTAAAATGTTTATAATAAAAAAAAAATAAATAAATTACGCCATTGACACAGGATGAAAAAAATTATTTAAAGTTATTTCACAGCTTTTTCGATATTTACATTGGTTTTTTAACATCTGTGAAGATAGTGAACATAAAAAATGACCTTTTTAAAGTACCGTATATGTTCAATAATTGACAATTTCCAATCCTTTAAAGCTCCTAAATTATATGATTTGAGTATATTTGAGATTATTTTGAGGACAAATAATCTCTAATAAAAAGAACTCAATTCACATTACAAAACACATACAATCTATGGAACTATGTTTAGAATCAAAATCGAAGTAAACAAGATTTTATTAATACTTATATGGGTAGTACCTATCTATATCAATAGTCTATACTATAATAATTTTATTGTACGTTTGTAACTTCTCTGAAAAGTTATGACTGTTATGAGCAATACGAATAATATTTAATTTTAAAAACAACAGGAAATGTGGCCTGACACAGAATTGCCTATACCAATAAAAAATAATAAACTGATAATTTTTTATTGTTTAAAACCGACAACAATAACAACTGCCTATATCCATATGAACAATATTACTATACCCATATAAACGGACATAGAGGCGTCCAGTTATTTCTCATTAAATCTATTAAATAATAATAATAACGAAATGTATAATAATTATTAATTTATCTAATAAAAACTGTTTACGAAAAACCGTCTATACGTATACGTATAAATTCATTTACGACAATACAATATAAATGATGAGGTATGTACGTTTATATTAATGGATTAATTTGTACATACAAAAACAAAAATATATATAAAAATCACATCACTGCAGAAGGTGTAGTTAGAAAACAAAATAAGAAGTGTTTTGCTATATTTCATTCGCTAAAAAAGTCAGTTTTCCATAAATTAATATGACGGTTGAAAAATCGTATTGTTTTAATGGTACAGTTAACTGCATTTATAATTACTTAATTATATCTTCTTATTCTAGTAGTTATCGACCATTAGGTTCCACACACCCAATTCTCTAATTCTTCATTGTCAGCTGATCTTAATTTCCAGTCTGGTATTCTGATCATGGAAAGTGCTCCATTTAGAGATTTCACGTATTTTCTTCCGGTCCACGCTTTCTTTCATTCCGGTTACTCTTCCATTACTATGTGTAAAAGTCGATTTAAACCCAGCTATACATTTTTTACTCTCGATTGATCATTTAGTATATTTTGTATCTGGAAGAGTCTCTCTAGTTTTTTATTCTTTTTTAATGTCCATTTGCCAATTTCTTTCTCTTTAACATGTTCAAAAATTTTCCGTAAGATTTTTTAATATTATTATTACAAATATATACGTTTTCAACACTTAAAAAGTAGTTGTATATGACATATTTCAGGGACGGGGAGGATTAATTACTCCTCTGGGCTCTGACTACGCCACTGTAAACTGTACCATAGTTTAATTTATAATAAACATGTATTACGGTTTACACATCTACTTACATGAAACATTCACCTATCTTAACCTACGAATTCAATAATAATTATCCTGTATTTAACATGTTAATTTAAAAAAGATATAACGTGTATACCTTCGAAATTTAAGAAAAGTTAAAAGCACGAGCGTACATTGTTTTAAATATTATTGAACGCAACGATAAAACATATAAGTGTACATTAATATTATAGAACTATTAAAAATATCAAAATAAAATTGTTTGTCTCAAATATTAGTTCACCTTAATTTTTTTTTTTATGTTTTGTCACTTTCAAAGTATTAATCCTCAAAATTCGAAAAAAGTATCGGTATTCGATAATCCCTGTGTTCAATGACCTACTTAAAAAAGTAACCTTAATATAGATGAAACTTATTGATCTATTATTATTATTAGATACTACCCAGAAAGCGTTTGAATAAAATAAAAGGACTAACTTCGCAAAGGTATTATTATAAAGCTAAGCTGGTTTCTCGCTTTGTTCAAAATATAAAATAAAAAAATAAAAGATAAGTAAAAACAATTTTTAAAACATCAAAGAGTGTGGAAAATATGCACGCTAGTTTAAATATGTTCAGATGATTATTGATTGTAATATTGTGTAGTATTCGTAACATTTTTTCGCGCACACGCGTAATTTTGTTAAATAAATAGATCCATGGATACAAAAGGACAGATAAGACCAGTTATATTAGATAAATAAAGATACATAAGAACAGTTTTATTAGGTATCATTGATCCCAGGGTTGAAATTTGTTAAAATACGAGAAATAACGCAATTAAAAATAAATCAAATGTCAACAGAGCTAATAAAATTGGTAAACAAATTAATAATTCTTATGTAAAAAAATTTAAATAAAATTATCATTTATCATCATCGTGGATTCACGAAGATAAAGTCACATAATATAAATAATCAGTGGCGTATTTACGTGGGAGGATAAAAGAGGCACTTCCATCCAACTCTTAACAAAAAATTAATTGTTTTATAATAATATTAGGTAATAGGTATTACAAATTCAATAATAGTTGCTATCACTCATTTTTACATATACCGTAATTTCATGGTGAGATGTTTAATAATTTCAACATTGTCATACTAAGGTACTTTTATCGCTATTAAATTAATATCTCAGAATAGTGTAATTATTCAAAATGTTTTAATTAATTAAAAAAATCATTACGCAAAACTAAGTTGAAAAGTTTAGAGAAAAAAAAATACAAAGTTTAAGCTTATACATATTTTAAAACTAAAAGAAATGTAATGTACGAAGTAGAAAATAGAAATTTTATTTCAACCGTTTTTGATTTTTAAATAAGTAAATTATATAAAAAAAGTGTGCATTTTTAAGAATGATTTGTAAATACGATTAGTAAAAAAATATTTATATACAAATATGTCGTAAACATATAGTCTATCAAGCATTTTACTAAGCCTACGATATATTTACGTATTTTTTTTATTTTTTGTATTACATTAAAAGTATGATCAGTTTTAAAAAAAAAAATGCTCAACTAAATTCTGGACTAAGCTACTGTAAGTATACAAAAATCGAAATATTCATGTCAGAATACCAAACATTCAATATTGAATATCGATATCGATTAGACCAGACATTTTAAATTCATTCTATTCGTCCAAAGAAAGACAAATAATTAATAATGTATTTTTCTGAACAACAATATTTTTTTTTGATAATGAATAAGTAAATATTTGAAATAAAAATTTTGAAGCGCATTAAACTAATATAATGAAATTCGGTGATCAACAAATGAATAAAATACAAATAAAATCACAATATTTAACATCAATCGCTCATTAATTGAGCATAAAAATCCAACAAGTATACGTTATATTATTATCAGTAGCAAGTATATCTATTTTAATACAAATACACAAAATAATAGTACCTAAATACGCAGTAATCAACAAACATGTTGACATCGTCTAGTGCCAAAACTAACTGCACTTGGCAAAGACATACATTTTATTAGTTTGTAAAAATGCCTTTTATAAAATATCACAAAAGTAAAATATGTTGCGTTTAACTTAAGAATCGTATAAATATTATAAAATGCGGTATGTATATTTAGAAAAAAATTTAAATTATATTATCTTTACGATTGCTATAAAATCGAACAAACAAAACAAAATTCGAGAAAAAAAAATAGTTTCATCACTACACTAGCTAATCACTGTGTCACACAGGAGTTAATAATTTAATAATAAAATTACTTAAAAGGTAATATTAATGGAATTTATACTATAATATTATAAAAAATAAATCGATAATGTTGAAATACGAAATAAAAGTTATTCACTTTTTAAGCCAAAATACAATAAGTGACAACATTTGAAAAATAACTTTTTTACATCAAAATGTTCGGTTTTTACTGTTTTTTTTTTTTTTTATCATTAGCAAAAATACCGTAAATGCAATAGATTTTATAATAAACGTGGTTAAACATATATACGTATTTTTAAAATATATACTCTTACGGATAACACATAGTAAAACAACAATAACTGATCACACATTCACACGGTAGGATAATTTAACTTGTACTGATTCACACACAGCATTTTTGTTTAGTATTGATAAAAATTAAGAAAACAAAGTAATTCAGAATAAGTTATTTTTCTTAAAACTATTACAATGTCGTTTAATACTTTTTGAATTAGGAAAACAGGAATAGGTATAAGCAGATATAATGCAATTTCTGAATATAATAATATTTTTAATTGACTACCTATATAATTTTACACTAAAATCTGTATACGAATATACGAGTAATATATACACTAAAAATGAATGCAATCGTATGAAAACGATGAGAAAACGGCGAGAAATACAGAATAAAAATTGTATCTTTATAGACATAGGAGCCAGCCTTTTAAAATTTCATGTCATTAATCTCATTACTTTAGATTTCTAGTAATTTACAGTTGTGCCCGACTTTTGTCATATATTCCTTATAGTCACGGTTTGTCAATCTCATGGGACACTGCAGCCCTCGAGTCACCCCTACCTGGCACCCCTGTTAATAGGAACATTCTATACATTCTACGAATGGATTTATATTTGATATGACAACGATTGTGACGTAGTATTAGAGCAAGAAAAATCAAATGCAAAATTAATGCAAATAGAATAAATTTCTGGGACTTATTATAGTCTGTTATTACTTAATAATAATTCTTATCCAAAGTGAGGAGATGTTACGCAATATTTAGGGTATCCATAATCCAAACATCGATATTAAAGTATCGAAATACCCGAGGAAATACCTAATACACAACATAAATATACAATATATTATATATGCATTATACTATCATATTTAAAATGTAATAATCATTACACAACCATTAATAAATGATTAGGGACTTAATAGGATTTTAAAATGGGCTGCGTGGTGTTATTAAAGTACCAGACTCAAAACACATATTATAGTTTTACAGACGAATATAAAAAGTAAATTACTCTTCACAAAACATGAACAATTACCGCTGTATAATATTACATAGGTACGCTGATACTTAAAATATAATACAAATTGAAATTAATATCCGCAACGAATTATATTTCGCCGATTTTATTGTCAAGAACACAGTTTTCAGCGTGACTCGTACTTTTAGGTATGTAACATACAAAGCGCAAACGGCTAATTGGATTTATTTACACTCCCGATAAAATATATATACATTTAGATATTTTTTTAGAACCATGACGTTAAATGATGCTAATCAGGCGAATTGTCCATGAAAAAGTTCACTAACTGATGTCAGCAATATACAGTTCTCGTTTAATTAAATTATTTAATTTGATAAGACTATAGTATATAATACAATTATTTATTATGGTCTATCAATCTGACTTATTTTGTAGTTTAATAACATTTCTATATAGTTAAAATGCCAGCCATAAATCGTGCCGTAATTAAGCTTAAGTAGGTGGGAAGTACGGAATGTAAAATAGATCTTTCTTCTCAGGAAAGAAGGGCCTAAGTCAATTTTATATACAAACAAATTACATTTTGAAAATTGCTAAATGACATAATGGCATCATATTACTAAATGAATAAATAGCTAAATGGCCTGACCTAAATATATTAAGGCATCAACATAATCCAGAAGTCGAAAAAAAATATATACATTACGGTTATTTTAATTTTTTGAAAAAACTGTTGGTTTTTAAACATCGTTTAAAGAAGATACCTAACGTTAAGTGTATGTGACCGAATTGGTGCATTTTAACAAACAAAATAGTGTTCAATGGAAAAAAGAAAAACTTTTAAATAATTATTTAGTCTTAAATATCAAAAACATAATATAATTAAGATGAAGGTATAAAAACTTTTCACTAGATTATTCATCATAATCAATAAAAAAAATGTGTATTTTAACAATATTATTGTATTTAGTGTACTTGATAAGGACAATTCATATATTATGGATGAACTTAGGAATTTGACCTGGATCACAAAATAAATGATATTTCTTTTAACTATGCCCTGCATGGGCTATATACACATATGATGTATAGTATAATAAGCATTACGATTTTAGAAGTTATAAAATACAACTATTAATAGTTTTTTCGGTCACTGTAATACAATGTATTGTATATTATCAAGTTATAGGTATTTTGTTTATTTCTTATATATTATTATATATATATTTATGAGTAGAGGTACATTATGAGCCGTTTAAAGTTACAACGTGAGAGCTGTACAAATAATTATTTTCTTATTACTTTACCTACCACGTTTGTTGACATTTGGAAGGTTTATACAAATAATATAAGCTTTAACTACAGCTATATTATATTTTCACTCGAAAATACGAAATTAATAAAAATAGGGTTCGCTTTAAAAAGTCCCAGCTAAAAAAAATCGTAAAAAAAAAATGTTTAGTAAAACAGTAGTAGATATACTAAAATAATTTAATTAAAAATGATTCGTACTATAAAAAAATTTGAACACATAATATAAAAACATAAATCGACCGATAAAAATGACTTATGATAATATAATCATTGTAAGCTAAAATTATATTTTAAATCAATGTAACTAAGTAGATAATTTGTGTGTATTTTAATAACAGTCGGTATACATACCTAATAGCTAATACCTTATTAATATTATTAAGCATGCTGAATGCTATTATTAAAATTTCAAGGTGAAATCAATTGTAAAAATATTATTAGTTATTACTCATAAGTTACATTTTTTTTTGGTTTTATTTTGTTTTTTTTTTTTTTTTTTTATATGTACTAACTATTTTATTTTTTCATAATATGATTTTCATGTATAAAATTAACTGTAACAAAATTTTGTTTGCATTACGATATAGTTTTATAATTTGAATTTATAATTATAAAGGAAATTATAGTTTCATCTATTCTACAACTTAACTAAACATTACAACGGGATGAAAAAATAACACTTACCTCTACATTTTACATTAAAAAGCTTTTTTTTAACCTTAATAAGTTATGTACACACCTAATAATAACAATTTAAATGTAACTCCTAAAAAAATATGGTAACAAAGTAAACAAGAAAACAGCGGACTGTAAAAATCCGAAAATTGAAACACTGTTAATATCCGGACTGTAATCGGCCGGAAAAATAAATGTTCTGACCAGAATATTTCGGATTGTAAAAATCCAGGAAGCATAAATGCCTATACCAGAATGTCTAAAACTATAATAATCCGTAATACTTAAATACGCATACTGTTATGTCCCGGACAATAAATTTTTGGAATTTAACAAAAAAAAAACACTGATAGATGATGATGGCTCGCATAAACAGTACAAATAGAATAAACGAATTAAGTTTAAAAGAAGGTTCATGATTTTATTTCTGTTCTCAGAGATGTATAGATAATGTCTATACATTGCATATGTATCTATTAGATATGCTCAGACCCGGTGTCACGAGTATCAGTATTAATAGTGTTTTTGAAATTCCGGATTATTCTTGTGCGTGATATTCCGGAAATTTCTTGTCCAGGGCATTACAGTGTGCGTATTTTTGTATTCCGGATTGTTATAGTCCGGGACTTTCTGGTTTAGGCATTTATGTTTTCCGGATTTTTACAGTCCGGAATATTCTGGTAGGAGCAATTGTTTTTCCGGCCGATTACAGTCCGGACACATTAGTGTAACATACAGTGTTTCATAAGATTTTTATAGTCCGCCGTTTTCTTGTCCGTAAATTTACATTCCGAAATTGTACAGTCAGTAGGATTATTTTCCGGGATTTTCTAGCTGTCAAAAAAAATATGTATAAGCTCAGCTATGTACTTATGGTACTCCTAGGTAGTATTATCAATTTTTTTTTCAAATGTTATAATAATAATTATGTTTCAATATTTTGAATAAGTATTAGGTATAGATAATGAAATACAATAATATATTTTTTTTTTAATAATAATATATATATATATATAGGTATTCTCAAAAATTAAATCAAAGATATGATAAAACGAGTATAGTAAAACGGTTTCATGTACTTATTATTATAATCTGTGATTATAAACTCTGGATTATATTTTATTTGCGAAAATAAAAAACGATATTTCACACAAAAAATAAATACCGTGACCTGATTTAATAAAATAAAACCGATTGTGTAACACTAAATATCGTAAGTCATACAGATAGTGTATATACTACTACTCGAATTGTATACCTGATTTGTTCTGCAGTTTTATTTGAAAACCTAAGTGGACATTTACTGTCAAAATTCATCTATATAGAGTAACATTAAATGTAATTTAAAATTAGGATTATGGCTTTACGTTTAAATAGAGAAAATTTAAAAAAAATATAATAATTTCGAAATATTTCTAAATAAAATAAGCTAGATAAAAATAAAGACAAAAACTAACATGGCTATAACTCTTTTGTTTAGCGATATTTTATAAAAACAACGACGTAATGCTCTCGAAAAGGTCGCCACCTATGTTTAAACTCTAAATTCAACCTAAACGCCAAGCGCTAATTTTAATTTACGTTTACCTATATATGCAATAATACCCGTTAGTTAGACTGAGACAGCAGTGAATGCGGATGAAGTCTCATCCTCTCAATATTTATACAGAATACCGGCTACAAATAACAAAAAAGGAAAGAACCAATTCTCAATGACAATAATTTTCAACATTATCCACTAGGTAGTCAGCGTATAAATACTTTATAAATTACGAACAAAAAACACAGGTTTGAAATTCCGTTTATAATTACATCAGGAAACGAATATATTTTAATTCTTTCCGACATTTATCACGAAAGATGGTAAACATACTTGTTGTTTTTTTTTTTTATACCATCCTTCCTTTATAGTTGACGATTATTAAGGTCACCCAGTTCACCAGATAAATTCTCAAGACGCGTATTATATAGCACATAGGTACCTAATTCATTTTAGATTCCGAGTGTAGCGAAGAATGTATTGGTTTTACTTTACTCTTTTATATGATGTTTATTTTTTTTTTTTATCCTGTGTACAAAAATTCGATCATAAATCTTGCTCAGATACATACGAAATCATCATTTCTGAAGGGGAATGTTGTCCAAATGGTACTTTTTAGAGGTCATTTATTGATTTTCTAAGCGGTTTTCATAATATCTGGGAAAAACTAGGATAAAATTTAAGAAAAACGGAAAATTTAAGAAAATAAATAATAATAATGCTTTTATTATTTTTCAATTTTGTTATTTGTTGTAATTCAGTTAAACATTTTCGTAGAGACTTCAAATTTAGACAGAAAACTTATATTTGCCTAGTCTAAACGATTTAAAGTTTTCAAAAAATGTAAGTAATTTTTGAGGTATTTATAGACATTTTAATTTTGAGAGTTTTGTATTTAATATTTATTCGGTAGGTACTATGTGGTAAAACTTTTAGACTTGAATAGAAATACTTCAAAAATTAACAGGAGGTTCATTGAGTCTACCACTTTGTGGTAAAATAAAAATTGAGTTTAATGTAGTATTTTTTTTTATAAGGGAATTTTAATATCAAATTTTAACAAAAAAATTGTGTAGAACAAATTTAATTTTTCAATTTTTTTTTTTTTTTTTTGAACATACGTGTATGCCTCTTAAGAATTATGGTGAAGTCAGAATTAAGCGAACTGACTAAGTTTCGAAATTATGAAATTATAACTTTTTGAAGTTCTGATATTATATGTTATGTTAAATAACTCTATGTTGTCCTTCTTAAAGTATATTTGTCGTGATCTAATGGTTATGTATGCCTATTATGATCCTAGGGGTTCCGAGTTCAAACCAGTGTGACCCAAGCCAGTTGCTTCCTCGGATTATTTTAATCACAAAATACCCCTCGTTTTGTTGTGCAAACATTTCTATCAGAAATCTTGCTCCGATGTATCAAGTGTAACTTATTTTTTGAAAGGAAATTTTTATCTCCATGATAATTTAGAGAAGACGATTATTGATTTTTCAAAAGGTTTTCATAATATCTGAGAAAAACTGGGATAAAATGTCGGAAAACGGAAAATGTACGAAATGTAGGTAATAGTAAAAAAAATTATTATGGCTATTTTGTTCTGTGTACAAATTTTCTACCCTCAATTTTGATCTAATTTAAAATGATAGCACTTTTTTTGGAAGGAAATCTGACTGGAAAGGTATTTAGGGGAGGTAATTTTTCGATTTTCCCAGAAGTTTTCCCAATAAATGGGAAAAATCAGAAAAAAACATGGGAATATTGGTACAATATTAAAACAAATAATACTAAAGAAAATATTTAATGCCTATTTAATTATTTTACCATAATACGACATATAAATTGTTGACAAAGCATCACTATCAACTGAACTGAGCTCAGAATCGTTTTTTCGTTAGCAATGGTTTATCGTTGCTTACAGATATACATTAAATTATCTATAACAGTAGCTTCACACGTCTCCATTATCCTAGGACGTATTTTTTAACTATAGAGCTGAAAAATGATAATGTTATTTCCTCTCGATAAGAATAGTTTTTTTTTTTTTTTTTACAAACAAAAGAAGAAGATTAATAAAACAATACATTATCGAGTACATTAAAACATATTTTTTTTTGTTTTGTTCTAAATATATAACGAATATAACACCTATGTACCTATAGTAAAAATGTATTATTTGAATACAAGAATTTGTGAACCAGATTATTAATTTTTATCTATATAAATTAATTATATAAATAAAAATGTAGGTTCTTAATATAATATATGATTATCGTTATAGTATTCTTTAATTTGAATTTTAATAAATTCATATTACGATATTATAAAGTAACAATTCACGGTGTCATACACGCAATTGTTTTATAGAGGGGGTATTTATGGTATTTGATTTTTGCTGCAAATAATGTTCTTATGAGGAAGTGGATTTTTTAAAAAATGAATCTGACCCCCTAATCCCACCCCCACCCAATGTATGCGACCCTGACAATCCAACTCAGCACCGTGGCCAGTGAAAAATTTCGGGGAGGTATTAGGAAGTGTATGATAATCGTAATTACTGAATGGCGTTAGTATTTTGTTATTCTTATTACCCGTGCTATGTTTTCGAATGATAAAACATACCGAAATAACCGAAAAAACAAAATGTTGACGAATTTTCCCCCTCCCCCTCCCCAGCACACTGTTACAGCTATAGTGACTATACAATCGTGATAATGATAACAGTATATACACACCCGTAACGTAGTGAAACATTGTTAAGTATAATGTTCGTGTGCACAAACATTATTTTATTATTTTATTATCACGTGTGATTATGTGTGTGTATATTTTAACATTTTATGGCCAACGTAACGATAATAATAATAATATAATAATTTATCGTAAAAGTGCATTTTGTATTCGATGCTCATAAAATAATACGGCTACAATATAGTGGTCGGGTGGTTAAAAAAAATATATATATATAATGTATTATTAGCTCGATCCTTTGTTTTTTTGATCTTGAATCGTGCCGATTGCAATAATAATATCGTGTAATCGTACGTGACGCTATAGGTGGTACCCATATGTAGTGGGAAGCATATTATTATTATATTGTGTGTTGGCGGAACAAATTATATTACCGACGGGCGACGGTGGAAATAATGAAAAAAACAAAAACAAAAAAAACAAAAACCAACGTTAACCTAACCCTAATCGAACCTCCCGTGCAATACGAAACGTAGGTTTATAATTTATAACTTATAGGAACGAGACTGTGAATTTAATGCGGTTATTTTTTCCGCTATAACGTTTGAGAAAACTGATTCGATCGAAATTTGTTTCGATTTATCTACTCGTATTTTCGTATATTATGTAACGGCCAGTTAGGGCGTATAAATGCGTTTCGCGAGTTAGCAAGGCGAGTTAATGCGTTTTTTTAATTATATTTTTCCGGTATGAAACCGATTTTTATTTAAAATATGACCTTTTTATTTATACAGTTTCGATGAAACTATTCTGGACTTGGGCTTGGTTCCAAGTTATGATGCATGTATTTTTAATCAGATATAATGTTTTTTCAGGCACTTAACACCACCAGAATCAATAATGAGATTCGTAAAAGTTATAATATTAAAACTAAAATTGTAATGATTATGGAAAAAAAATGTTTACGTTTTTTGGGTTATTATTATTATTTTTATTTATTTGTTGCATATTGTTAACAAATTATTATTTATTGGAATTTTATAGCCAAGCATGTTTTTTTTACATATTTTAAGGTTTTTCAAGAGCATATTTCGTCAGATTTTATGCAGTGCATCATAATTGCATATTTAATACCTAGTCGTTATTAGTGCTGCATTAAGTACACAACCCCGCTTCATAAATATTTCATACTGCACTATACTTCAGCCACTGTAATGTCAATACTCCGTACATATTTTTTGAAAAGTGTTTCCATAATTAGTATTTATTTTTTTTTTTCAATCTACACGATGATTTTCCGCCAGGCCAGTGACGCCTTCGAGTACCAACAAAAAAAATTCGGCATTACTATTATTATTTTCAAGGGCTATTTTATTATAATAAACGGTGGCACTGGCCCACGACAATAACTAACTCGGTATATAATCGCTCCGGTCTAATCTTCAAGATTCGATTTTGTTGCGATTTCCGCGACACTGGCGACACTGATATTCAGCTTTCCGCTTCCGATCGATAACAGGAGCAAATAGCCCAAATATTTATTGTGGTGGACGCTCGACCCTTTGATTTATAGGAGGAGGGCTTATGTGAGTTTCCAAGATACTAACCCCCCTCCCAGCACGCCCTATTCGCACCGATATAGGTAATCATCGATTCGAAAAACCACACTGTGAAATACGCGTATATTCGGAACTCGCGTCGCATACGACGACTAGCAGATGGGAATTTGAAATCTTAAATTATTAGTTAATATACACCCGGTTCCTCTCGTGTTTCTCCAATCGAACATTTTTCGTGTACGTATTTAATCTGTTGAACATTTCAGAATAGGGGGAGGGGGAGGGGGACGTGGAAAAGTCGATCTAAATCCGTATTCTCTACACGACACGCCGGACGACCTCGGAATTTTGACATTTTCTCGCTTTACGTTATTCTAAAAATATCGGATTTAAAATTCAAAACAAACTATCCGGGTTTATATTATGACGACGACCAAGTGCGCGATAAATAAAAAATAATAACAATGCAACGACAAGAACCGCGGTGGTAGCAGTGCGAATGTGATTAATTATAGCATTATTATTTTATTTTTATCTTTTCGGGACCCCGACCAAAAAGGCTTTTACGCCGAAAAAATATTGACGCATCCGAGTCCCGTGAGATAATGTAACCAGATAACCTGTCAATGTTGAACTTGTATTAAATATATATTGATTTTGGATCGATTTCTCAATTTTCTAATAGAAACATTTATGTAACCTTTAATGAGTATTATTTTTTTTTATACAAAATCGATCGATTATTAACGTTTACGGATGATTAATTTTAGATAAAAGTATGTAAACATTGATTCGCCCGCAATATTCGTTAAAGATGTGTTGACGATTCAAAATAGTATAACATTCATATTTAAATGATTTAAATGATTAAACATTGATCTGTCTATATATTTTTATTTTTATTATTATTTTTTTTTTTTTTTTTTTGTAATGTTCGTTTAATATTTGCGTGTTATGTGGAGCTCTACATATAGCAATATAGTCCCCGGGACTAGGAAAATCGTACACAGATATTTCGATTTTGCATACGAGCTTTGAACCGAAATTGTAATTCTACAGAAACCCTATGCGAGGCTTGTTAGGACTCGGAACACGTTTTTTATTTTCAACTCGTTATAAACTGGTTGGTAAACAGTATTTAAATTTCGGCCGTGATAATAATGTTGTGAGGTGGGTGCATGACGATGATTCGATCGGTACTATTCGTTAAACACGAGTAGTAGGAAATGCAGAAATGCGAGAAACCTGTTTTCAGAAATCGTTTATAATAATATTATTATTCGCGAAGCAGACGAAACGGACGGGAACGAATAGTATAATTATATACAAACAGATACACTTCGGCGATTCGACAATTTCAAAACAAAATAAAACCACCGGAATAGTAAGGAAAATTAATTATCGGCGTACACAAACGCCGTAATATAACGGCTGATAGGTTCGCTGGCCAAAAACGAACACAAATTATTCTATCCCCCCGGAAGACTCGTTATGAAAACCGCGCGTATAACAGGAACACATAATTCGCGATGAGGATAACAAGTCCGGTTTTACACACTTTTTTTTTAATAAAATTTACCTTGAAGATTGAATATCGGGGACGTTATGCGTCGACTTCCTTAGATTTTAATCTCTATAATTTGCGCGAGTAAAATACCTATGAAAATACCTAATAATCTTGTCGGCACAATATGAGTCTAAGCGTTTTATTATATTTTATAACGCTGTTAATGTTTTCATAAATATGTCTGAAAAAAAAAACCCGGAAATTCGCAATGATATTTTGATCTTTTTTTTTTCACTCCATCTGGATCAATTTTCCAAACAAATTCTGGAATCACAACCAGTGACAAATCCAACGATTACCCCCCCCCCCCCCCNCCCCCCCCTTCTCCTCTTTCCTCTTCAATACAATCGTAGCTTGATGGCCATCATAAACGTACGCATCATATGGATTTTCAAAATCACCTCTCGGTATTTTGTCTTGGAACCGCCCCTGATCAGAGTGCACACAAATAATGCAGAGGGTACATGGAAATATGCTAAGACACCATTACGTGTTTTAACAGTTTATTGTTATTCACTAAAAATATAAGTTTGGAATGCGATTAAGAAAAGCGCGATTTTTTGCCAAAGTCTATATTTAACAATTAAAAAAAATTAAAAGTAATTTTGGAAATATAGCAAATTTCCTGGTTTTTCTGTATAACTTAAAAAGTAACTACGAGAAAACACCATAAGATTTGAATTTCGAAAGATATTTTTTTTAAAAATAGCTCGGGCCGTCAACTGGACTTGTGTCACGGTCACCGTATGTCACGTAGCACCAAGACACACCCTCGCACGTATTATTACCTATCTATATTATTGAAATTTAATTTTTACGCAGTGAAAAGATATTTACAACATTAATTTCCCGAGAAAATGGAGTAAATAATATTGCCTACGCGTTATTACAAGAGCATGGTAAAAATGTCCAGCTTTTTAACGTCGCGTCACAAAAAAAAAAAATGCTAGATGAATAATTATTATCTCTCTTATCAAATCGAGTACCGAAGGTACACTGATAAGGTTCGGAATGTACCTAATGTGCCAGATGCTGACAAATACATAAATACATAATAGGTACCAAGTATAGGTACTATTACGAAAATCTGTCAACGGCGACAAGACAACAGTATATTATTATAATAGATATGTGAGAAAATTACCAGAAAGCACAGAGGGTCCTGCAACATGAACGCCAGCACGTTGAGCATCTGTTCGTAGTACACGTCTATAGGATCTTCGGTTTGGGACGGGTCCTGGATGGCAGACTGTTCGGGCGTCGACGCGTCCATGCTGTACTTGTAAGAATAGTACGAAGCCGCCGATATGGACACCACGGTAGCCGATATGTACGTGGACAATCTGGGCACGGGTAGTCGGTCGACCATCATGAACTCCATGACAGCGCGTTATGGATGTATTGTTCGCGGACTACAGTAGGCCGGTAGCGTTGTTATTGTTGACTTTGTTATCTATTCCGTCGTCGTCGACGCTGCGAGTTGGAGTAGTCTGACGGCGACAGTGTCCGGACAGCTGTATATTATTCGAAACGCGCAGGAAAAATCGTATCCGCGGGGCGCGGGGGGTGGGAGCAAAAGCAGCAGCCGTTGCCGAGCGACACGGAGCGTGCGTATCGGACGAGACGCGCAAGCGTTTCGCGATCAAGACTCGCAAAACGACCCGATCCCGGCAACAACAGACACCGCGACACTACTCGTGGGACGGTAACGCGAAAGTGACTGATAATAATACGCGACCGTCATGGCGTGATAATAAACGATGTTGATATGCGCGCACGGATGACGTCACGTTTGAATTGTTCCGATTCCGGAGCTCCGCCGCCGCGCCGGTGGCTCCCTCTATGCCGATAAACCGAACGTCAGTAGCCTCGCGTGCGCTCTCAACATAACAAAATCGTTCATTTATTACGGTAATTCAGACGCCTCCCGAACCAGCCATGAGCACAGCTGCTGCACCCTGCATTATGAACACTACTTATTAAATTAAACAACAAATTACTTACTCACTAACTATAGATTGAAAATGCAAACGAAAAAGGTCTTTTGTCGTTTTTCTATTGGAGCAATATTTCTAAAAGAAAACAATACCTATTTAAAAAAAATGTAAAACAATGAAATCGGTAACCTCGCGGCGCGCCGTAAATATTTGCCGTTTTTCCGATACATTTTTTTTCTCGATTAGATTGAAAACCTAATGGAAAATCAAAAAGTGACACAGACACAAAATATGAAAAATAAACAAAAAAACGCACATCATAATAAAACCAATAGATGATTCCTCGCTACGGTCCGAATCTAATAGACATTTCAACCAATAAAACTAATAATATTAGAATATTAAATATCTATTTTTGTTCACCTCGAAAGCGAATTTCCAAATTTTAATGTCTCACATTCGTAAATTTTGGAATTACGAGAATTGAAATTTGCTTTTACTGCCTTCTGCTTAAATTAGGTTATTTCTTTTTACACGTTAAGAAAAAAAGTTAAGATTCGATTATGAAATTTGGTTAATCTTTAACGATAGGATTAAGGTATAAGAATTCTAAAAAACGATTCAAGTTTAATATAGCAGAATATAAAACAAATGATAGGCGATAATTATTTGGCAAATGATTTGTTGAAAGTCTAATCTTCTGAAATATAACTTTCTGGAACGCTAATGTTTTGGAACATATTTTATTGGAAAATTTAAAAAGCTAAGTGCACAGAAATAATATTTCCTGAAAAATAATAATCTTAAACTAGCTCAAAAAATTAGCGATCCCGAATCCAGACAATATTACTATTGCAACAAATTATTTCCCAATACATTAAATGCGTCCAAACAAATATACAGAGTAACATTTAGGCGGGTGCAATGTATACGATTGTACATAGCTGAAGATTTTTGGGAGATGGTTAATAATAATATTGTACTCGATAGCTGTTTATATCTGTGGTGGATCCATGGATAGTAAAAAAAAAAAATGGAAAGGACGCTGTGCTATTGCCGTATACACCAATTAGCAACTATTCAACAAAAAAATCCTTCTCCTAAAAGGAGTAAACCGTACCTCAGATCATGTTCTAAAAAAAAAATTTAACAGTTTTGCAATGCTAACCATAGAAGCGAATTTGACTTCAAAAGTTACAATAGTATAATTGAAGAAATTCCTTTAATAAAATTTAGAAAAGTCCAATATAAGTACTATTACCAATTTTCAAGTTTCTTCGTATATTTATAACCGAATTATAGCAAAAAACTCCCAAAAATTAAAATTCCTGAAAAGGTTAAAAGTGGCTCAAAAGTTTTAGCAACAATACCGTAAGAAATTAAATCATAAAAGGTATCGTGTGGTTTTTCGATTAAATCGTTTTTTCTAGTAAAAAACGTCGTCCATGATTTTATAAAATAATAAAATGGTGAAATTGAACGTTTTCCTATGTTTTTTCCCACTTAAGTGCTTAATTGACGTTGGAAATCAAAAATTGACATGTTTAAAGTACTTGAAAGACAACTTGAGCTTTCAGAAAATTTGCTACAAGTAAAAATCAAAGCAAGTTTACGTGGATAAAACATGTTCACAGACTAGAAAAAAAATAAAATATACATCTTAGTAAAACCAATAGCCACTACCTGCGCTTGGAATCTTAAAGTAAAAATTCTTAGTCATATAGTTATCTATAATTCTGCAGTTCTAAAAGCCATTCTTACAATCTCCTGTTAGGCCGAAAACTGTAAGTTAACGCTAACTGGTGGAATTTAACCCTCAAAATTCCACTAGTTAGCGTTGATACTTAAAATAAACAAAACAATTTTATGTATTTATATAATTATAGTTGATTAAAAATTTACCATTCAAGTTTTGACCATGTACCTTTATAAAATATGTTTACAAAAACGAGTTATATCGTATATCAAATAAATGAAACAAATTAAAAAGTGGAGGGGAGAGAAAATTTTGTTTGTATGGGGCAGCTAAATTCTAAATGTGGCTCTACAAATATATATAGAAAAATAATAAAAAAAACAAAAACAACTAAATATAGTTTTAGATATAAACAAATTTGCTGTGCTAAAATTAAGAATTTTTTCACCTGCCAAACACGTATTATTTACATTTTGTTTCTAAAAAATATATTGTATATGTGTACAATTATTAAGGTGCGAAATTATCTATATCTTAAAGAAATTTAAAAAATAACCATTAAAAATATTTCAAGGCTGTTTAAATTTCGCCAACTAAGTAGAAATGTAGAAAGTTAAAAATTACATTAAATTTTAAATGTTTAAACATAATAGTAACTTTGAACTTCAAAACTTTATCGCTGTAGTCTATAATACCTATAGTAGGTAGTTAAATTATTTTCATACATACATTTTGTATTTATAGATTTTTTACTAGCGTCTAGAGATTAGTAGGAATGTTAGCAACGTGGTGCAAGTTTACCTTCAGTATAAAAAATTATAATACCTAATAATAATAATAATTTACTGACAACGAAGTCATAATTATGATAATATGTAATTATGCACGAAGCGAACTGGATGTAACATAACATTTTAACATATTGGGATGAATAAAACTACACTTAGATTATAATTACAATCAGGGGTGTCTCCAAACATTTACTATGGGTGGGAGGGAGGTGAAAAAAAAACCTCTGCTCAAAACTTTTTTTTACCACAAAGTACTATTTTTAATGAACCTAATGTTAAATTCTCAAGCATTTCTGTTTGGTCTAACAATTTTTTCCATAAAGTACCGAATAAAAATTACATATAAAACTTGCAAAATTTAAATGTCTATAAATTACTCAAAAATTTTCTCACGTCAAGAAAAGACAAATATAATTTTTCTATCCAAATTTTAATTCTCTACAAATATTTTTAACTGAATTACAACAAAAAAACAAAATTGAAAAATAATAAAAGTATTATTTTCGTAAATTTTTCAGTTTTTCTTACGTTTTATCCTAATGTCAATATAATGCTAGAAAATAATGCCAATTTTGTGTAACATTATACCTACCTATTACACAATAATTAGGTAAGGCTCTCATGTGAATCTCATGTGAGAATCAAATGAAGTTATAATTATAGCAAACCGCATAATCTATAAATAGTAACCTTGAACTTGGTGTTCAGCGTACTCGAGAATATTCTATGGCAAATAGAATCTCGATTTTAAAATAGAGATAAAACACTTAAAATTACAGAGGTAGATCTAGGAATTATTTCAAGGGAATAGGGGAGTTAATTATAATTTATCCAATACCAAATTTAGACTCATTCCATACAGCCTATAATAGGGCAGTGATGGCTACACATTTTTTTTTTAATCGTTGTTTGAGACTAAGGTGACTAAAATGATTGGGGGTGTTAGGGGGCTTAGCTCCCTCTAAAAAAGATCAACCACTTCCCAAAAATATGATTAAACATTTTTCAAAGTATAAAATAAGTACTTACTTATTTTACAACAATTGTCCAAACCTCGGAACTTACCAAAATATTTTTTTATATAATGAAAGGACAATTCATTGTACATTTGTTTCTTTTACATAGATTTTTAACACTAATTAATATTTTAACAAGCAAATTGCAAGTTAAATCTTCGAATCTTGGAAATTCAACAAATATTATTAAATCTGTAATCAAATACTTAGAGGATTATAAAACATTAAAACTATTCAATGTTTTGATGAAATTTTGTTTGATATAAATAAATTTGCAATAATCAATAATAAGTAATAATAAACAGATAATGGTTTTACTTCCAAAAATAAAGGTAACAAAAAAATAACATAAATGTATAATCGTAGAGCTGCTTGTTTCTAAAATTGTCTATAAAACAAATTCCGAAAACTTAAAACTTTCCGAGATAATGAGTGTCTTGCGATAAATCGATCACTCTGTATTCCAAAGACCAGAATGAATGTGTGATAACGACCACTAAAAAAAAATCGGCAAGTCGAAAATAAAATTAATAATATTCCGATGGTAATATGAACCGCGATCATCGCCGCAATGGTTTCCGTTCTCTAATCCTAAACTTACTTTCTCATTTTGTTATTATTATAGATTTATAGCTAATATTAATATTAATGCGTTGCTATAAATAGCATTCATCTGCACGTATATTATCTTATTTGTGCCGATTAACATATTGTATGGGTAGGTACTGATATTCGAGTAGGTTATAGCGATTTCGCTAGTTCATTCACTCATCATCGTGCTAGTGCTATCCCTCTTATGGTAAATCGTGTTCCGGTTTCTAATTTTTAACGAATTTTTTAATATTCTAATATTTACACGTCATATGGGTGAAATTTTAGTATAGATCGGCGCGTCGGTATAGATAAATAATGCTATTATATTTTACGGTACAATGAAGCATTATAATATATAAGAATAAGATTTTACCTTTCAACGTTTTTGAAAACTTTTTCCAGATGTTACACAGGCAAAATAAAACGTTTACATAATATTGTATTGTTAGTCAATGCCAGTGTATTGTTAGGATGTGACAGTAATCTTTGAAAGTGCTTGCACTCGTATATCTCAAAATAATATCAATTAAACTAATTATAATAATAATAAACCAATTTGAACGTGAACTAAAGAGTTCACTCTATACGTTCAGGATTATAAAAATTAATATCAATCGAGACTATTGAGAATGGTGTTTGCTTAGTCTTAGCGCCAATAAATATTATTATATTACAATATT